ATATTATGTAGAGATTTCATTCGCTGTTGGCGTGATATGTACAGCAGTATTATATAGAAAGATGATCGATTGTCCACCGAGTATGTGGCACATTGCCAACCTGGCTCTCTTTTTACAAAGTACCACCACACAGTGATGTTCCGCTTGGTGAGACACGGGGTCGGTTATAAAACTTAATGCAAGGGGACACCTGGGACTTAGATACAGAAATAGGAAGAAAACAAGTCATTTCCACGTTAAGTGAGATATTGAAACGAAGGCCTGTTTTGTTGTGAATTAATGTAAGGTCTACGATGTAAACGTGCACATTGTTCATGCTGATGGAGACAGTGGTGTCCGTCTGACCCTCTAATACCAGTGAAATGACAGACCTTTATATCCACCAGAAACATACCATGTCACATCTACACCATTTAACGGTGAAAATGTCTCCATTACCGCCATGGAAACAAATGATATTGAGCGTGTCTGCTTATTGCCTCATTATACTGTAGACTAGTCTGAATAATTCAGTTTATTTCTTCCGGTGCTAGCATTTGGTTCAACTTGTACGTGGCAGATATGCGGGCACCGACCCAAACATCTCCCCCATATGAAAACATACTTCAATATATGAAAATGTAAACGATCGAAAATGATTGCGCAATGGATTTACGTGCTCGTTCAGTTCTATATACGGAGCATGCCGCACTCAATAGACTTAACTAGGCGCATTGACCGTCCTGATACTCGGTGGCTATTCTGTATTAATACCGCGCGCCACCTTCATGCAGCTATAACCACAAAACGAGAGAGCAATATGAACATACATATACTAAATCGATATTAGCACTTTTTTCAACTCGTTCAGCACTTAATGACATGCGGCGTCTTGCTTTGGAGGTGTGCCAACTTCGCGTCATCCTATTGGTGGACAAGTATGTAAATTTCATTCATTCTGTAATGTTTCCCGCTTTCAGATGGCAGTGTGTGTATACATACATAATGTATCCTCAGCTGTGCGCCGCCTAAATGTGTGCCATGGCGTGGGCGGCATAAATACGGGAATGTTAAATATAATATAAAGGCGCTGTACGTACATATTATTGTCTGAAATATTTTTGTAAAATGTCTTCATAGGTTGCCTGCATTAATATATGAAGGATTTATTACATCCATTTTAATTAACAAAATTGTACCACCAACTGCAAAAAGTTAGGCAGTGTCAATGTCACCTGGCACTCGACTGGAGACAAGCTCAGAAAAGTGCTCTTAAAACGCATATTAGAACACACAGACATGGTCGGCTAGCTGAAGAGTATTCCAGAGACTCCAGGACGCGTTAGGTGTATCATGTCGCGCTTAAAGCCTGTATAGGAACCATCTAATAATCGTTCTTGCTACATTTTATGGAAGGAAATCCTTAAAGACAAATTTTGTAGAACCAACTTGTATTTGAGTCCACGTTAGCCGTGTTGATATGGCCTTAAAACGTTATACCCCTGTATGATGAACTGAAACATGAAGAGCTTCAGGATAATCATTCCACGTCAGGTTAATAACTGCATTAATGATATTTATGTGACCAAAGTCACCACAGAAGCTTGATTTGTGTAGCTGTAGGTGAAATGAGTTCAATGTGGCTCAAGGTTATAATATACGTGATGGACCTCATCTTTACCATAACTAGCACATCAATACCGATGTGAATATATCTGCATTGACCCCGTATATACTGTACATGATATTCACGTACTGCCCAGTTGTATGTTAGTGTTAGCCTGTGCATTTAAAACTGAAAGATCAGATCCAAAATGGTTTGAAAAATATCCAAAAAGAACTTTACTAACTTTTTTCCCTTTTTTAAATTTGTTTATCAATTGTTTCTATCTTCTACCATTTAATTATATATTTCTTTCTTTTTATTTATTTATTTAATTTTTACTGACACTAAGAAGTAAGAAGGTTGGTTCGCTTGACTTATGCAGTGCTACACGACCCCAGTGTCTACTGCATATGGTTGAGACTGGTGGCGTAGGTCTGCTATGGCATAGAATTAATCCATAACAAGATAAATACCCGTGCACTACGACATATATGATATATACATCAGATATGAAAAAAAACGATTGTTTGACGACCACAGACAGTTACAAGAATTCGAGTCGTGACTGAAAACCATCTAGTTATTGTTTATGACCCTGGTAACCACTGCACAGTGTAGACGACATGTATGACCACCATCTAACGCTACTTGTGGCTAGCCCACACTGAGCTCCTGATGGCGAGTAGTTAACCTGGTACACACTAACCACGTAGAACATCCACCACATCTGGTCACCACAGTCCTAGGACCTGGACACTTTGATGTGGCTTCTATGGACTAGACGATAGTTGCTGACGTCCAGCGAGGACGGTCTTATGACGGCTATTACAATGCGGTTTCTTCTAGGTGTATGAAAATGAAACAGAAAGGCATTTTCGATTTTGAACTGATGTTACCTTAGAGGGAATGTGACTATTTACATGATAAAGGAAAGCATTAATACTGAAAGCAGTCATATGTCGTTGTGTGCATGTAACGTTAAATGTAGTATTTGTTTTTGATAAGCCTCATTTTCCACATACATGTCGCATTTTGTAAACAAAAGCTGACATTTTTTTTAGTAGCACATTGTTTCGTCCCCAGTGCAAATCTTTCACGTTGAAACAGAACTCCACAAATTTCAACTGTTTACTCAATCTCAGTATTTCTGGGGAACAGTTCAGTTCGCGGCCACATTTAGATTCATTTTTTACGCAAGAAACTAAAATATTTTTGCAGAATGTCAACAAACCGTCATCGTGACGATTGTAAGAGCGTTCGATCTACGCGATTTCCTAAAAAATGTAATTTACTTATCAACAAGACATTGACGTCTTACTTTGGCACTGTTTTCTGGTTATAATTTGAACGTCAATCAGATAGGAGCGGTGCTACCCGGTAAACAGTCAACAGCGAGGAGTGACCTCAGTGAAATTGCTCCCGTAAAATCCTATAAACTGATCAGATGATCTTATATGATATGTAGTGTAATTAAAACACCTGGAAGTTTTAAAACCCTAACATTATATTAATATCAGAAAGACGTAAACTGTCAATAAAGCCACCTTAGACTGAAAACGGGAACAGTTAAGGAAGAACCGGAAATGTGTATTCCTTTTTTGGCGTTAATGACAAGAGCACCTTGAATTACTCATAAAGTCGTCTGAAAGTCAAAAGGTAGATCATTCTGGGTGGTAACTTGCACGTCAGCTGCCATTCCTTGCTGTCTAAATTCAACCCCTCACTATGGGGAAGATTGCCCTCCACAGCGATATGTCTTATAATATCACCCAAAAACCATTTATATTCACTTCATATAACTGAGCCTTTTTTTAATTTCATTCAGTCGTGACAGGGATCCATTATCTAATATTTTTGTGACGGGTTGCTGCTATGGATTAAAACTGAACAATCACTTCAAAATTAAATTGCGCATACTGAGAACATTTTATGTGGGGTGATAACCATAAAAAAACGACGAGGAGAGGAGGGTCCTCTCAACCCCACCCCCTCGCTGCTGTTCCTGCCTTTATGACTGACGTGAAGAGAGGAGAAATGGCTGTAAATACTAATAGTTAGAATTATACATTATTCCAGGTAGTAACTACACTCCTATTTGCCAGTTGTTCACAAAACGAATGTGTCAGGGAATTGAGCTAAATAGAGGTTACTCTAGCACCTTATTCCCCGATAAAATTGTCTTGTACAGCCGTACAGATGATGTAATTCTTTGCTAAAGCACTCGTGGGTTTTTTAATGAAATCGCAGGAAAATTTCGTTTTTTTTTGTGAGTTATAGCTCACAGCACAGACAGAAATACTGAGTTCTGCAAAGCCGGTTAAAATAAAATGTTTTGAACTTATTCTCAGAGAAGCAATTTTCAGTTCAATTTTCACAAGACCCAGATTTTGACGTCTGACGTTTTTTAGGTTGTTGTTGTTGTTATTGTAAACCCGCCACAGGCGTCTGGTGATTATGCAAACTATTACAAAGCACAGGTAGCGGTGGGGTGCAAAAGTCGGAGTTCAGACGTATAAATCAAGAAACTACTGAAGAAGAGAACTTCTTGACTTGAGTGTCATTCACACAAGCCCCTTTCCACTGCTGTTCAACTTAAAGCTCGATCTGTTCTGATATTAAACAGGCTTAAAGCCTCAGAATGTCGTAAGGGATACTGAATGCGTTATAAGAAGTGACGTCACACTGTGTGATTACACATCTCTGGAGTTTTGCAATCATCTATCGTAACCAATGCTGATCGAACTGACTTCACTGTTGATCTAGTGTGTAGCCCTGGTGCACAGCTTGTATCGTGTAAATCGGCCTACTCGCTGTGTTGTCGTTCTTTGACTTCGACCTAGACAGTGAACAGGTAGTGCCTATTCATCTTATTCCGCTTGCCGGGATTCATCAATGACATACAGTGAAAAAGCATCTATTCATCTACTTGGGGGACGAAACACACGTAAAAAGGGCTTGTCTCGGCCTAAGTAATGAGACTATCGAGTTCCACAAATGGCGTTGTTCATTTAAAAGTCAAGTTTTATAATAATATGAAGAATGTTTTGGTTATGATGAGATAACAATTACTAAAGCTTTTCGTCACATTCTGCCATATTATGTGTCGTCCAATTCATGGATCATAAGCTTTGAATTGACTCAGTTCATGTGTAGACTCCACACACCCCAATGTTTCCTCATAAGTGATATCGCCAAGCCTATGACATCGGTGAGAGACCAGGATATCAAAAGTGTACTATCGCATGACTGAAGGTTAAGACGGGGTACAGTTATGCAATTACTACATTTCGGGCAGCTCCCTCTGTGCAAACTCATATTTCACGTCTTTAATGAAAGAAAGAATTGCGTCTTTCTACCATCTTTTTAATTCCGACAGGAGATCAACTGTTAATATTTCCACATTATTCTGTTCCAGGGTCGTGTTACTGTCCCGCTGGTAGTGACGGCGTTTGCCGCTGTGATCGGCGGCTCCTTTCCCCATGGTTACAACACAGGTGTGCTCAACGCTCCCCAAGATGTAAGTTGATGCTGCTGTTTTTCACCTTGGTCAGGTGGTTCACGTAACCTTGATAAATGTAGCATTATTGAGACTGACCGCGCTACTGTTATGAACGCTGAAAACGCTTCTTCAAGTTGCGCACAGTGAATCAGGCGATTTGAGAATTATTTCTTTTTGTATCACGACGAGTTACCTGTTTTCACAGTATTACCAAGTCTGATAAGCCAAAAAAAAAATTCCTACAGCAAGTGCATTAATCCAAAAAAGACTGAAATAAATTGTAACGCTTACATGTAGTATGCAAGTTTTTCGACTTGATGCCGTCATTTTACACGGAATGGTTTCAGTAATTATAGTTAATTGAACAATGTGTCCTGTATCTCATTTACAAAAATGTTTTCTCAGCTGTCTACATCCTTTCTCTTTATTTCAGTTAATTATCCAGTTTCTTAACGACACGTATCTAATCCGTACTGGCAATGAACCTGGCAAAGGCATGCTCAACTTTGTCTGGTCGTTCACCGTGGCTATCTACCTGGTCGGCGGCATGTTCGGCGCCTTCAGCGCAGGCTGGTTCGCTGACAGATTCGGGAGGTAGGGTTATAACAGAATAGGGGGAGGGGGACGACAGTGAAATGAGAGAAATAAACTTATATTGAAATATAAGAACGTCCAATAACAGTGGTTAACATGTGTCACTGGTTTTGCGTGTAGCACACGACTGTGGTCACCACCAGGCGACCAGGCGCTAGGGGGAGTGTTGAAACTGTCACCACCCCCTTCTTTGTAAACTGGGGAATGAGATTAATCAGTTCGTCATTGATCATATGGAACAAGCCTTTTATTCAACAGTTCAGTAAAGAGAATGTCTTGGGATAACTATATGATTATGGACTGTCGATATGTTTAGTTCAGTTATCTAAATAACAGTAAATCCCTCTCTTTTTCAGGAAAAAGGCCATCATCATCATGTACATTCCCACCTTCGTAGCCGCTATTTTGTTTGGTCTCTGCGATGTAGCGGAATCGTTTGAGATGTTAATAATTGCTAGGTTTATAGTCGGCTTTGGTTGCGGTAAGTCCTTCATACTCGGCTCGACGCACACTGTGAGACAGTAGCTGAGGTACCGCCTGACGATGTTTGGGCCATCAGTTCAACATGTACGTTGGGGTGAGATTCAAGACGTAGTGAATTATTCACTCGTGTTCTATGTGACAAACTCTCCAAAGATGAGGGAGGAGTTCAAACACCGAGTGTGTGAGACCGGGATTTCAGTCTGCTACATCACAGTGTGTACCGGGCTTAAAGCGCTCTCTGAAAGTGCTGTACAAGTCATGTAACCATCGGCCTTGTTAAAGTAAGCAATGGGGACCCTCTTAAGGATACAATGCCCGCTGATGGCATTTTAAATAACCTTTGTCAAATAGCAACGCACAATGCATTGAGTCACTGCCTCTCTCACCCTCTCTCAAGTACATACAAACAGACATACTATAATACATACTATAATACATACTACTCTCCAGTATAAGTCAAAATAAAGTTAACTTCATCACTCATTTATAGGAATATTCTGCCTATCATAGGTTATATACTCTCTTCGTTTCCGTGGTTTTAGGTCAGTAAGACGACATTTAATAGAATAACTAATCATTAATACTGAATAATGCACTGTTTACCTTCCAACACTCCATAACCCTCTGTCTTGTCTCCCTGCAGGTGCCGGCTCTGGGCTGGTCCCCATGTACATGACGGAGATTGCCCCGGTGAACATCCGTGGCGCTATGGGAGTGCTCCATCAGCTGGCCCTCACCACGGGAATCCTGGTCTCTCAGATCTTTGGACTACGGCAGATACTGGGTAAAAACACTTTGTCATTGTGAATACTGTATGATACAAATTGTTTTTCAAAAGTCCAAGAAATTCTCTTTAGCATGTAATTTTTCAGTTAGTGAATGATGTAAATAAGCTTCAAATTTTGTAGTATATATTCAATTTACGCAAAAAAAAAGTCAACAAAAAGTCTATTCTATCATAGAAATTGCCGTTTAGAAATTGCATATGTGTTCTTATATTTTTCAACATTGAAACGAAATGCATAAAGCAAACTCGATGTATGGTTTGAGATGCCGAAACATCATACACTTGTATTTTAGCAGTTAAACTTCAAAATTTACGTTGTTGTTGTTGTTGATCATGTAGGTAACGAAAATTGGCCCATTTTATTGGCGTTCGTTGGCGTCCCGTGTCTGATCTCCGCATTCATCCTGCCGTGGTTCCCAGACAGTCCCAGGTACACGCTGATTAAACTGAAGAAGGAAAAAGAGGCACAGGAAGGTACATCTTCCCTTTCTATCTGAACACGTTGACGTCTCAGTAGTAGAAAATTTGGTATGATTAAAACATAATTGATACAAAGAAAAAGTCAGCGAAAAAGATCGGTAAATGTTCAGCGTGCCAAGTGTGTAACTATAAGCCTAAGTGCAAACAGTAATTAAGATGTTCTGCGTATCTTCATAATAATAGCAGTCTAAACCAATAGCGAATATACGAGTATACATGTATATACACGATATACGTTCAATTTCTACAGTCATTGTCCATTCGTTGTCCACTTCAGTGTTATTTATAAAATAGCGCTCTATATTTATATAAAATATCTATCATACGCGTGCCAGTTACCCCCCATTATGTACAAGGTATGTCACCTGTGACCTCCTCCTTGTTTCAGCCCTGCAGACGTTCCGTGGCGCCGACCATGACGTGTCTGCTGACATAGAGGAGATGAGACGTGAACAGAAGCAGCTCCAGAAGCAGCCGCCATGGAGTCTGGGCAAGCTGTTCCGCAGCAAGATGCACAGGATGCCCTTTATGTTGGTCAGCGCCCTGGCCCTGGCCCAGCAGCTGTCCGGGATCAATGTGGTAAGTGGAATACTGCAAAACACCCCTTTAGAACAGCATGCAACGTTTAGAGCTTCTTGTATTGACTACCGTACGTTTTTTCTGAAACTCTACTAGAGTCATGTTGACATGATCTAACATGTCTCCTGAGTTTCAGGTGTTCTACTAGAGTAAGGTTGATAATATCTTCCCGTGTTTCAGGTAGAGTGAGGTTGATAATAGTTGAAATATCTCCCATATTTCAGGTGTTCTACTAGAGTGAGGTTGATAATAGTTGAGATGTCTTCCCGTGTTTCAGGTGTTCTACTACTCCAGCTCGGTGTTCAAGGATGCCGGTATTCCTGATGACTACGTGCAGTATGCCACCCTGGGGACTGGTATTATCAACGTTATCATGACAGTGATTAGTGTAAGTATCAGGAGTTTTATATCTTAGTTTAGTAATAAGGGATTATTATCCGATAAAAGAAATAAAATTTGCACAACGTTTTTTCTGATACAAGTTTTCGTTATCTTCTCCCTCTCTCTCTCTCTCTGATGTTGTCTTGTGCAATCATATACACTTGTCAAATGACAATTTTCAATATTCCCATTGATATAAACTAACGTACCTTTAGAATAGGAAGACACAAGTAATTGGCAAAAGAGAAGTTTTAGATAAAAATTATAAAATATTTCTTCAAATGTGTATCGAAATGTTGGTTGGAAACACAGATATGTATAAAACATACCGCCTCTGTTGTCCTGCAGGTGCCGCTGATGGAGAAGTCTGGTCGCCGTATTCTCCTGCTGGGCGGGATGATCCTCATGTTGACCTCTGCTGTCATCATCACTATCGCCCTGAACCTGAAGGACATCCTGCCCTGGATGGCCTACATCTGTGTCATATGTATGCTGCTCTTTGTCATTGGATTTGCCATCGGCTTAGGTAAGATCATTGTCTTCATGGGCCTTCTATTAAAAATATACAAACAGATGGGACAGCTTACGTGTGCATTTTTTTAATCTGTACATATGAGCGGGCAAATAAAACAGAACCCGAAAAAAATAGTTCCAAGAATCCTCAACTATATTGTTAGTATGCTAAGAGGCAATAGGACACATGTTGAATAATACAACAAAGGATGTTTGTACTCTAGCCCATGGATAAATCATAATGTGTCTTTGACTATCTTAAACTAGTCTGATTGGAACTATCTTCAGGTCGTACACGCTGACATAGCAGTCCATTTCAATTAAGCCAGTGGGATAACAAGGCAAACTTTCACCACATCGTGGTAATTTGCAATCACCATCGTAGAGCCAGAGTCTGTTTGCATGACATAAATCTGGCATAAGTCGATCAGTCTGAGCTGATTTTGATCGCGCCATATTTTAAACTTGTTTGTCCTTTCACTCGGTATCTGCAAATTAACCTACTCTCCATGACATGACTCACGGCCTGTATCACCCTGTGTTCAGGAACCTATCTGACTACTTGGTTGCCGCCAACTGTAACACCAGCAAACTGTATGTCCTCTGAAACACAGGGTGTCTGTCTGTTGGCTGGATTATTACACATATGTTGTAGGAATTGACCATTTGAACTGGAGACAGATGTATTACAACTCAGTTATTGATCTCAGTGTGGGGAAAGGCTTCCTGTTATTGTGCACAATGTGGTTGTTTGGCTTCTTTGACCTTCATGTGTATGATGGCAGTTAATGTCAACGAATTACATGTACCCGAAGTTAACGTTACAAAATTAGCGCCCTGTTCTAGAATTGAAAATAAATTGTAAATTGTTTTAATGCTATAATTTGAATACTTTGTGATGCATGTGGAATATTTGATAGATACATGAAGCAGTACAGATACTTGGTTTGTCTGCCGCATCCTAAGACCGTTGTAAACGTAGACCAAACCATGCAATTGTTGTATGACCATTATGTACGTAATAAGCTGCTGTTTTGTTTTGCCCAGGTTCTATCCCGCAGTTTATTGGTGCTGAACTGTTCAAGCAAGGTCCTCGTCCTGCCGCTATGTCGTTCGGTGGAATGTTGAACTGGCTGGCCAACACCCTGGTCGGCATCAGCTACCCTTCCATGGAGGTGAGAGACAAGGGGTGGAGACAGGGGGGGAGGGAGGGACAGGGGGTGGTGACGGGGGGAGGGGGGAGGGAGGGACAGGGGTGTGGAGACGGGGGGAGGGGGGAGGGACAGGGGTGTGGAGTTAAGAAATTGTCATCGGTATGATCAGCTCTAAAAGTTATAAATATAAATATACATTATTCGCATGTTATTGAATTATTTGGGTAGTTAAAGAAGCATTACCTCCATCTGTAATTAGTATTCTACAAATTCCTCTTATTTTTTATGTTTATAATGTGAAGTTATTATGCAATGTTTACCATGCCTATGTACATGATCATGATCCACTGTTCCAGGATGCCATGGGCCCCTACTCCTTCATTGTGTTTGTGGCACTTCTACTCTTCTTTTTGATTCTCATCTGGAAGTTCCTCCCCGAGACCAAAAACAAGAGTTTTGCCGAAATAGCTGCCCACTTTGGGATTAAAGAGGACGAGATGGCGGACGCGGAGGACAACAAAGAATCGGTAGAACTAGTTGAAGCCAATCTTACCACTGTTTAATGCTAGTCCGTGTAATTAGATGGCTTTTAAGCTTTTATGTAATTTGATTTCAAGATAAATGTTTACTTCATGCAGTTGTTAAACAGGGCGTGGTCAGGTGTCAAATAATCAGGTCGTTCTTTTACTTCGACGGAAGGGCTTGCTATCCCGTGTGCAGCGTTTTACTTTTAGTTTGGGTTTTTGCACGTATAGATATTATGTTACATGGAAGTTAAGGAACTGGTGGCTATGAAGATTCCAAACTTAAACTAGCGCCAGTTCGGAAATGATGTTAGGCGGTGAAGTTGGGACAAGTCCAGTAGTGGTGGATTTGAAGTAGAAGAACAGTTCATATACTTAGCACTTGCATATAAACTACCAGACCTGACATAACCTTGCCCTGTATAAGTGAATCATGGACGGTACAGTTACATAGTGGGCAATCAAAGGACAAACTAACGGGTACCGTTCACCCGAAGACGGTTTGACATCGACATGAACCAGGCACAGTGTCTACTTAAGTTTACTGAAACACCGCCTGCTGTCTGTTCAAGTCAGCTACTAGTAGCCACGATAAAAGTAACTGTCACCACTGTAACACTGGTAGAATTCTGGAGAATACAGCCACGGCTGGCGGCTTTCAGTCAAATAATGGCGGCAGCTCACTTCTACAGCAGAAGTCTGTTTCAAGCGAGGCACGACGGACCTTTCCCGTCATCACACGGCAGAACTTTGCCTTGTATTATATATACATGTACCATATAGAAGTGACAAAAAGTGGTTAACAGCTTCGGATGTAATGCATCCCACCCCAAGAAACAAAAGACACCCCATGCCAAATATTGCCTGTTGGTTGTTTTTGGTAGTTAACGAAAAAGGGTAAAAGTTATTTTAAATTTATCTTTTAAGATTAAAAGGGTATTCCGACAGTAACGGTTAGTTATATTTACATTTTATTGTTATGTTATAAGAAAATCTACAACTATTGCCAAATATGTTTAGAATATAACATAAATTTTATTTGAATTTTGGATGTGTTTGGTACATAGTGGTTTCATTTGTTCCTGTCAGTATACACCCTGTTGTCGACCAGTAGTTATTATACCTCATATATCTAATGTTATACAGTAAAAGCACTCCGAACAACGTTCATTTAGCGAATATTTATATTAAAGCTCCTAACCACCATGTTAATCAAAATAACATGTTAATTGTATTTTAAGAAATCTCTCGCTGGATGGAGCATTAGATGGAGAACGTTGTCTTAAACACTGATACACGTAACCTTCCTTATTTATTTCAGCTGAATTATTTTAGTAATAGGGACCAACCGAAAGCACTCTACTGTTGCCAAGTATTGTATTTTTATCATAAATGTAGTATTTGAATATTTTTTGCTAAACTTATTTATTATTTTGGTGTATTTGCTGAGCATTTGCATTACAGTTAGCAACCTATTAGACGAAATTTAGGTCGACCTTTAAACTCTCTGCCGGCCGCCTGTTTGAAGTTAGTTGTGGCCGATCTTAGGCACACAATCCGCAGGAAAAGTGTCGTCCCAAGAAGGGCTGGCTCGACTTGTATGTAACCGCACCTTTAGAGTAGAACAAATATCTGTAGAACAGACAGTGTCGCCTGAATGTCAGCGAGATCGCAGTAGGCTGTACATACTGCAGCAACGTGTGACACAGGGGGCGCCGTAGAAAAGTAACGAGAAGTATTTTTGATATATTTGCTGAGCGGTTGGAATGTGTTTAGAAATGTTATCATGGTTTCTACGCTAAGACGTAAAGCGAATTATCCTTAGAATAAAAAAATGTTGCTAGTTATTACACATTTTACTCCGATTACCAAGAATAGTGTTTTGTATGTAAAATGTATCTCCCGAGAGCGGTAAGTTATTAATATAATAGGCTTTCTTGTTATTAGGCAATCGCCAAGCGGTGGGAAGTATAAAATAGGTGTTTTGTTTCTTTGTAATATAATGTCAGGGACTAAACATCTTATTTAAATATGTATAATACCAAGTTATACTTTATCTAAATTTACTTACAAAATTAACAGATGTCGGCAGTGACATTGAATTGTTGAATTACATTTATAATATTAATATTTATCATTGACACCCGTAGTACTTAAGCGTACCATTTAATACGTTACCTCATTATAGCTCTATTTATTGTTTTGGTATGTCTCAGTACTCGAATTCATGCACCAGTACATTGTACATATAACATAGGATGTTAAGAGGGAGTGAGGTTTACATTGTGCATGTAGAATAGTAGACTAAATGATGTGTTCATCTCAGACCGTATATCGGGCTTACTGGCGTCAAGAGTGGACTATCCCGCCCGGATGCTCTCTATGTTATGTGGCTGTCTAGTTACGCAAGTAAACCCCCTACCCGGTTTAGGATTACTTTCGTCTGAACGCGACTTCCAGGGAAAGGAAGTAATAGAAGGTAGAAATAGAATGTAGGAGGAATAAGAAGTCGTTTGCATTCGCCATGTAGCCACTCTTTCTCTCTGAGTATTACCAACAATGATGTATAGTGCCAACATAGAGATATAAGTTAACATTGACCAGTCATATTCTGTAGTTTTAATTGCTTTCTTTCCATTAGACTGCCACTAAGGTCGCCTGTAGGAAAAATTCGCTGTGACCTCCAAAGTTAGAATCATTTATTTATACGTTATGTTTGTTATTGCATCTTACTGTAACTTAGTAAATTCATTATATCTTTATTTTGTGAATTTATCACAAAAAGGTGGTGTAAACCGTACCTAAGGGAGCATTTCAGTGTGTCGCTGTGGATGAATAAAATGTGTTGTTGAATAAATACTTGTTTCTTTTGAGCGTTTATACTGCATTGCCATATGACTTTTTAATGTTTCTGGGTCTCATTTGTCACATAAGTTAATTAGAGTGGACGGCTAGAGTGTCACATAGTTGTACATCCTTACGTATTATTTGTATAACCCCTTGCATTGCTATTAAACAGAAAGCGATGCAGCACCGTGGTTTCTAGGAGTATATCTTTAGAGGGTGATTTTAGTAATTAACCATCATTATTATTTTGCTATCTAACCACTGCCTTTATGAAAACCTTATTTACCGGTTAAGCTTGTATGTTTCTCTGCAGCATGCTTATTTGTTGTCTTTATGTTTTAATTTCCTTATATTTCTAGGATTTCAAGTATTTTAGTTCAGCACATGCGCTTAGTGTTGGCTTAGATAGTTCTTTGTTTTTATTAATATTGTTTACAATATTTTAAAGTGTCTTGTTTGGTGTTGAGCTTGCATACATTTGTTCTTAACTCTGTTTTTCCTGTGCAACATCTCATATATATCGTAATTTTTTTTTTGTTATTGACTTTCCTGATATGTGCCACGTTTCCATTCAAGTTGTAACGAGTAAACTTAGCAGGCCATGCAATTAGAATGTTCGACCAAAGACAGCCAATCTAAAGACATGGTCCTCAGTTACTCAGTTACAACTGGGTCGGTGAGAGGGACTAGACTGGCTAGCTACGGTTGGAAACAGTAATCACACCACGTGTTGGGATACAACGTAATCAGTTATACCACCACAACTTGAATAGAAACGCACATATATGTTAACACTTTACGGCATGAACATTAACCTGCATGTTTACTCACTTTAGTCCTTAGTTTGAGTGTTTCCTTTCCTTTGTTTGTAGGTTGAAATGCTTCCTATGCATGATCGTGTGGGCACGCGCTTGGCCGCGACAGCTCCTGCAAACGCCCGCCAAAATGGGTCACACTCTATGCCGACAACTCATATACCGCAAGTTGTCATAGAAGATGAGGCTAATGCTACTAACCCAACCATTGGCAATCCTGCTATTAACGTAACTGATGATGACTTTCAACAACAGCCACTTATAAGTAAAGAGGATAGTCATCGGAGCCCGCGAAAACCAAATATCCCAATGGACCCCGAGGTTGGTCGGCCTCGAAGTGGCCAAGATGTTGACAAAGAAGTTCTTGCGTAACCTCGGGATGCATGTACAATAAACGAGAACTATTTAAAACTGTTGTGGACTGATGGGGAAGTCTTACGTGTAATTGTTGAAAAGTTTAAGATGGTTATCTGTATTTGCCTCTGTAAAGTTGCACTAAGAACTAAACTGGTCCCGGAACAACGTTCTTTTACCGTCCAAAAACACTCTATTGAATGATGTGGAACACATGTAGTGGGGTAATGGTGCCTACAGGTACAGCATTGGGCATTGGGAATAGGTTTTTTCATATTTTATGGGGGTAATACACATTTTACTGTGGAAATTTACTTCTGTAACAGTCGAAGACGGTTGTGGGCAGTTCATCGACTATCATGTTTTAGTAAGTATTCAGCCACTGTTGAGGGCACACGAACACTGCCAAGTATGGTTACAATCTCGCCTTATTCGACAGAGGAGATAGAAACACTATCAATTTTGCCACGCAGTGTTCTGATACTGCCTTATGTGCATCTTTTACACGCCATTTTACTTGCTTTTTGCGGCATTCCTTGAAAATGTAATCAAGCAAAACGCTAAGCTTTTAAATGTTGTCAGCTTTTTGATCAACAGCAGCATTGAAACGCACTGTATCAAGATTGAAACGTTAATGAGTCACAACTATGTGCTAAAATTCGTTCAGCTTAGGTTTTTAGATTGCCTGCTATCAGATGTTACTGTATTATAAATGACATGACAAACAATCGATTAACTAAATGATAGAAGAAACAGAGAGCTTTCATGAGAACTAGTGGAAGCAAACGTGACTAAAGTGCTGCTGTTTTAATTCTCATCATTTTGACTTTATTGCATCAACAAGTAGTCTGAAATAGCATGCATCTGTTTAAAGTATTGCTGCTTGCAAATTACATGTGCGCCAGCTTCTGTTAATTTTGTGGCGTGTAGTAAGGGCTTTACCGTGCTGCAACTGTTCTTGGAGGACTGAGTAAAAATGTGTTCACTGTGAAGGGATCGGGCCTCCGCCATGTTGTCGTGCTTTGCATGTTCCGTTTTATGTTCCTCGCTGCGTTCTGCAGCTTTTGGTTCGCTAGGGATAGCCATAGCACAGACGGCATATTTTTTCTTCAGGGTGGAAGTCTCGCTAATTTCTGATGTTTAAATTGTAAAGCACAGACGATGTAATTTAACTGGTTTTAACTAGTACCAAAGCTACTAAAGCCTGAAATCGAATTAATTCAAAAGACTTCACGTGCTTCAGAACATGTTTACTTTGTGAAAGTTATCATTTCAAAGTAACTAGTAGCGTTTTAGTATTAAAAAGCTTTGTGCGTTAATGCTCCATGAATACTCCGAACCTGATTGTGTATTTGATTATTTATTATTTTATTTGTATCTACACCCATCGTTAAGAACGTCTATTTGAAAACTGTCCCTATAATATCTGGTAAAGGGTAGCTTTTTTAGTGAAATCAAACTTGGAAAATTTATATAGGTTTATAAACATTTTCGCTCTAAGTAATGGATGATAATCATGAAATATGTACTTACTTGTATAGAAAATAACTACACGAATATGTCTACATGTACCACGGGATTAACTGTATCACATTATATGAACACTGCCGTGTATATGAACATGCAATTCAACAGTTTTATTTATAGTTTTTTCAATCCACCAGTGACCTCAAACAGCTTGTGTAAGTCCCATGACTACATTTATGAGATGATTGCAATAAACTAAATATGACAGCGAAATCAATGAGTTTTACCATACACAATGCAATCATAATATCTTCACATTTGTTAGAGATGGCAATTTACAACCTAAATTATATATTCTAAAAATATGACATACACTATCAAAGAAATTTATTTAAAATTTACCCTTTATATTGAGCTGTAAGATGTCCAGAGATTTCTTTAAAAAAAAAGAAAAAGAAAAGAAAAGAATAGAAAAGAAAAGAAAAACGTCAACTGGTTTACACCATAACACGCAGACCACGCAGAGGTGATAGGCGGGTAAACATTTGTGATATTTAAACTCGTTTAAAAAATACAACACGTCTAGATTTTACTGTAAGATCCCTTTACCATTATATCCTACAGTCCTAAGCTTAAGAAATAAGAAGCGGGCAGAGATCCATTGGATCAAGTAACACTAGTTATTACATGTTAACGTAGATTATGCTTCATCTGTATCTTTCTCAACTGAATGTTTTTAAAGACAGCAGAGACCTCTGGCGGTGAAGTATAAAAGTTAAAAATATCTATTGTGTTTAGTGGAGCTCAACCGTCACATCTATCATCTTCTCCACTGATGACTCACAACGCAATGCCCTCATATCTCATGCTAAAATCTAACCTATTAGTTACACTTTATGTCTGTGTATCCTCTTAAAACTAAAGCAATGAAGCTTATCAAAAACAATGAATTAAGTAATTATGACATTTCCTAATGCACATTTGGACATCTTTGTGTGATCCCGCATATCTCCACTGCGCAATAAAGGTACGGAATCAGTCGTGTCTTACCGATGACAATACGCTGTAATTAACAACTACTTTACCATTATATCTACATACTAGTCTGCATAGTGTTTGTTTTCTACAACAATATCCCCTGGGTAGTTCTAAAAATATATAAATAAACATTTTGCGGAGAAAAACATATATCAGAAGTGTTATCATGATTTCGCTTGTGGAAATTCATCCTTTTGATGAGGGATTTTAGAACGATCTATTGTAAAACTTTTTTGGAAAACTGATATGATAAAATTTCATACAAAAAGGATTCTGTTATATTTGGGAAAAAAGTTGAAATAAAAGTAGAAAAAATGAAAAATGAAATAATACTTCAGCTGAATGGCTAGGTTCAAAAATAACATTTTAAGAACAGCAAATACTTTAACATGCAAACGTCCTGTCAACTTCTGGAGGACATAAAATACTATTTTACACACGATGTTGATTCTTTCAGTTTTTACCAGAACAGGATCAAGTACGGAAGCAGCAAAGATGGTCTGATACACACATATACACATAAGCTTCATCTTCACCTTACCCTGTCGCCTTCTTCTATTTCTAAAACATGGCACAAGAATGAAAACCGATCCACATTTTGGAGATATGCGGCCATTTTCACGTAGCCTAAGACGTCTTTGTTTTTGAGGGAGGTCACTTGCATCCCATTTTCAAAAGCAAAGAAAGTTTACGTACAATTACAATCGGCACAAGACACGGGCCCTCATACTTCACGTCTAATTATTATTATTACTCATTTTGATGAAGAAGCATATACCCAGTGTGCTTCAGTTCTTTTATCCCAATGTCTCGACTTACAATAAGTTCATTGAAAGACACTCCCTATCATCATTTAGAGTTATGTTCCTGACAGCATCTGTGGCAACATATAAACGGATTAGGCGTTCACTAACACTACCCGCAGATCTTTTAGCAATAACACCCATAATAACCACATAACCCACGAATTAACCAACACACCGCACAATTATTTAGCACGAACAAAACCATACCTGACACTAACATTCATCCACTCTGGTAGTGCTGGTTATTTATGGCTTATATGGTTATTATCAGCCATCTCCAGGAGAAGACTGACCGTCGGAGTAGCTTTACTGCACAAGCGGGACTTGCCATCAGCACCACCAAAACCCAGGTCATGTGCATTAACAACAGTACGACAGCACCTGACAGGGAGCCAGAGTATTGTAGGGCAGATCAAGCGACGGCGATTTAAATGGCTCGGCCATGTACTTAGGATGGATGAGAACCGAGTACCAAAGGTAGCTTTGAGATGGACACCACCTGGAAAAAGAAAGAGAGCAAGGCCCAAGACCACCTGGCGCCGAACAGTGATGGCAGAGCTGAGGGAGGGGGACCTTANGGGGGAGGGAGGGACAGGGGGTGGAGACGGGGGGGAGGGGGGAGGGAGAGACAGGGGTGTGGAGTTAAGAAATTGACATCGGTATGATCAGCTCTGTCTAAAAGTTATAAATATAAATATACATTATTCGCATGTTATTGAATTATTTGGGTAGTTAAAGAAGCATTACCTCCATCTGTAATTAGTATTCTACAAATTCCTCTTATTTTTTATGTTTATAATGTGAAGTTATTATGCAGTGCTAATCATGCCTGTGTACATGATCATGATCCACCGTTCCAGGATGCCATGGGCCCCTACTCCTTCATTGTGTTTGTGGCACTTCTACTCTTCTTCTTGATCCTCATCTGGAAGTTCCTCCCCGAGACCAAAAACAAGAGCTTTGCCGAGATAGCTGCCCACTTTGGGATTAAAGAAGACGAGATGGCGGACGCGGAGGACAACAAAGAATCGGTAGAACTAGTAGAAGCCAATCTTACCACTGTTTAATGCTAGTCCGTGTAATTAGATGGCTTTTAAGCTTTTATGTTATTTGATTTCAAGATAAATGTTTACTTCATGCAGTTGTTAAACAGGGCGTGGTCAGGTGTCAAATAATCAGGTCGTTCTTTTACTTCGACGGAAGGGCTTGCCATCCCGTGTGCAGCTATTACTTATAGTTTGGGTTTTTGCACGTATAGATATTATGTTACATGGAAGTTAAGGAACTGGTGGCTATGAAGATTCCAAACTTAAACTAGCGCCAGTTCGGAAATGATGTTAGGCGGTGAAGTTGGGACAAGTCCAGTAGTGGTGGATTTGAAGTAGAAGAACAGTTCATATACTTAGCACTTGCATATAAACTACCAGACCTGACATAACCTTGCCCTGTATAAGTGAATCATGGACGGTACAGTTACATAGTGGGTAATCAAAGGACAAATTAACGGGTACCGTTCACCCGAAGACGGTTTGACATCGACATGAACCAGGCACAGTGTCTACTTAAGTTTACCGAAACACCGCCAGCTGTTCAAGCCAGCTACTAGTAGCCACGATAAAAGTAACTGTCACCACTGTAACACTGGTAGAATTCTGGAGAATACAGCCACGGCTGGCGGCTTTCAGTCAAATAATGGCGGCAGCTCACTTCTAGAGCAGAAGTCTGTTTCAAGCGAGGCACGACGGACCTTTCCCGTCATCACACGGCAGAACTTCGCCTTGTATTATATATACCATATATAAATGACAAAAAGTTCAGCTTCGGATGTAATGCATCCCACCCCAAGAAAAAATGACACCCCATGCCAAATATTGCCTTTTGGTTGTTTTTGGTAGTTAAAGAAAAAGGGTAAAAGTTATTTTAAATTTATCTTTTAAGATTAAAAGGGTATTCCGACAGTAACGGTTAGTTATATTTACATTTTATTGTTATGTTATAAGAAAATCTACAACTATTGCCAAATATGTTTAGAATATAACATAAATTTTATTTGAATTTTGGATGGGTTTGGTACATTGTGGTTCCATTTGTTCCTGTCAGTATACACCCTGTTGTCGACCAGTAGTTATTATACCTCATATATCTAATGTTATACAGTAAAAACACTCCGAACAACGTTCATTTAGCGAATATTTATATTAAAGCTCCTAACCACCATGTTAATCAAAATAACATGTTAATTGTATTTTAAGAAATCTCTCGCTGGATGGAGCATTAGATGGAGAACGTTGTCTTAAACACTGATACACGTAACCTTCCTTATTTATTTCAGCTGAATTATTTTAGTAATAGGGACCAACCGAAAGCACTCTACTGTTGCCAAGTATTGTATTTTTATCATAAATGTAGTATTTGAATATTTTTTGCTAAACTTATTTATTATTTTGGTGTATTTGCTGAGCATTTGCATTACAGTTAGCAACCTATTAGACGAAATTTAGGTCGACCTTTAAACTCTCTGCCGGCCGCCTGTTTGAAGTTAGTTGTGGCCGATCTTAGGCACACAATCCGCAGGAAAAGTGTCGTCCCAAGAAGGGCTGGCTCGACTTGTATGTAACCGCACCTTTAGAGTAGAACAAATATCTGTAGAACAGACAGTGTCGCCTGAATGTCAGCGAGATCGCAGTAGGCTGTACATACTGCAGCAACGTGTGACACAGGGGGCGCCGTAGAAAAGTAACGAGAAGTATTTTTGATATATTTGCTGAGCGGTTGGAATGTGTTTAGAAATGTTATCATGGTTTCTACGCTAAGACGTAAAGCGAATTATCCTTAGAATAAAAAAATGTTGCTAGTTATTACACATTTTACTCCGATTACCAAGAATAGTGTTTTGTATGTAAAATGAATCTCTCGAGAGCGGTAATTTATTAATATAATAGGCTTTCTTGTTATTAGGCAATCGCCAAGCGGTGGGAAGTATAAAAAAGGTGTTTTGTTTCTTTGTAATATAATGTCAGGGACTAAACATCTTATTTAAATATGTATAATACCAAGTTATACTTTATCTAAATTTACTTACAAAATTAACAGATGTCGGCAGTGACATTGAATTGTTGAATTACATTTATAATATTAATATTTATCATTGACACCCGTAGTACTTAAGCGTACCATTTAATACGTTACCTCATTATAGCTCTATTTATTGTTTTGGTATGTCTCAGTACTCGAATTCACGCACCAGTACATTGTACATATAACATAGGATGTTAAGAGGGAGTGAGGTTTACATTGTGCATGTAGAATAGTAGACTAAATGATGTGTTCATCTCAGACCGTATATCGGGCTTACTGGCGTCAAGAGTGGACTATCCTGCCCGGATGCTCTCTATGTTATGTGGCTGTCTAGTTACGCAAGTAAACCCCCTACCCGGTTTAGGATTACTTTCGTCTGAACGCGACTGCCAGGGAAAGGAAGTAATAGAAGGTAGAAATAGAATGTAGGAGGAATAAGAAGTCGTCTGCATTCGCTATGTAGCCACTCTTTCTCTCTGAGTATTACCAACAATGATGTATAGTGCCAACATAGAGATATAAGTTAACATTGACCAGTCATATTCTGTAGTTTTAATTGCTTTCTTTCCATTAGACTGCCACAAAGGTCGCCTGTAGGAAATATATTCGCTGTGACCTCCAAAGTTAGAATCATTTATTTATACGTTATGTTTGTTATTGCATCTTACTGTAACTTAGTAAATTCATTATATCTTTATTTTGTGAATTTATCACAAAAAGGTGGTGTAAACCGTACCTAAGGGAGCATTTCAGTGTGTCGCTGTGGATGAATAAAATGTGTTGTTGAATAAATACTTGTTTCTTTTGAGCGTTTATACTGCATTGCCACATGACTTCTTAATGTTTCTGGGTCTCATTTGTCACATTAGTTAATTAGAGTGGACGGCTAGAGTGTCACATAGTTGTACATTCTATTATTTGTATAACCCCTTGCATTGCTATTAAACAGAAAGCGATGCAGCACCGTGGTTTCTAGGAGTATATCTTTAGAGGGTGATTTTAGTAATTAACCATCATTATTATTTTGCTATCTAACCACTGCCTTTATGAAAACCTTATTTACCGGTTAAGCTTGTATGTTTCTCTGCAGCATGCTTATTTGTTGTCTTTATGTTTTAATTCCCTTATATTTCTAGGATTTCAAGTATTTTAGTTCAGCACATGCGCTTAGTGTTGGCTTAGATAGTTCTTTGTTTTTATTAATATTGTTTACAATATTTTAAAGTGTCTTGTTTGGTGTTGAGCTTGCATACATTTGTTCTTAACTCTGTTTTTCCTGTGCAACATCTCATATATATCGTAATTTTTTTGTTATTGACTTTCCTGATATGTGCCACGTTTCCATTCAAGTTGTAACGAGTAAACTTAGCAGGCCATGCAATTAGAATGTTCGACCAAAGACAGCCAATCTAAAGACATGGTCCTCAGTTACTCAGTTACAACTGGGTCGGTGAGAGGGACTAGACTGGCTAGCTACGGTTGGAAACAGTAATCACACCACGTGTTGGGATACAACGTAATCAGTTATACCACCACAACTTGAATAGAAACGCACATATATGTTAACACTTTACGGCATGAACATTAACCTGCATGTTTACTCACTGTAGTCCTTAGTTTGAGTGTTTCCTTTCCTTTGTTTGTAGGTTGAAATGCTTCCTATGCATGATCGTGTGGGCACGCGCTTGGCCGCGACAGCTCCTGCAAACGCCCGCCAAAATGGGTCACACTCTATGCCGACAACTCATATACCGCAAGTTGTCATAGAAGATGAGGCTAATGCTACTAACCCAACCATTGGCAATCCTGCTATTAATGTAACTGATGATGACTTTCAACAACAGCCACTTATAAGTAAAGAGGATAGTCATCGGAGCCCGCGAAAACCAAATATCCCAATGGACCCCGAGGTTGGTCGGCCTCGAAGTGGCCAAGATGTTGACAAAGAAGTTCTTGCGTAACCTCGGGATGCATGTACAATAAACGAGAACTATTTAAAACTGTTGTGGACTGATGGGGAAGTCTTACGTGTAATTGTCGAAAAGTTTAAGATGGTCATCTGTATTTGCCTCTGTAAAGTTGCACTAAGAACTAAACTGGTCCCGGAACAACGTTCTTTTACCGTCCAAAAACACTATATTGAATGATGTGGAACACATGTAGTGGGGTAATGGTGCCTACAGGTACAGCATTGGGCATTGGGAATAGGTTTTTTCATATCTTATGGGGGTAATACACTTTTTATTGTGGAAATTTACTTCTGTAACAGTCGAAGACGGTTGTGGGCAGTTCATCGACTATCATGTTTTAGTAAGTATTCAGCCACTGTTAAGGGCGCACGAACACTGCCAAGTATGATTACAATCTCGCCTTATTCGACAAAGGAGATAGAAACACTATCAATTTTGCCACGCAGTGTTCTGATACTGGCTTATGTGCATCTTTTACACGCCATTTTACTTGCTTTTTGCGGCATTCCTGGAAAATGTAATCAAGCAAAACGCTAAGCTTTTAAATGTTGTCAGCTTTTTGATCAACAGCAGCATTGAAACGCACTGTATCAAGAGTGAAACGTTAATGAGTAACAACTATGTGCTAAAATTCGTTCAGCTTAGGTTTTTAGATTGCCTGCTATCAGATGTTACTGTATTATAAATGACATGACAAACAATCGATTAACTAAATGATAGAAGAAACAGAGAGCTTTCATGAGAACTAGTGGAAGCAAACGTGACTAAAGTGCCGCTGTTTTAATTCTCATCATTTTGACTTTATTGCATCAACAAGTAGTCTGAAATAGCATGCATCTGTTTAAAGTATTGCTGCTTGCAAAATACATATGCGCCAGCTTCTGTTAATTTTGTGGCGTGTAGTAAGGGCTTTACCGTGCTGCAACTGTTCTTGGAGGACAGAGTAAAAATGTGTTCACTGTGAAGGGATCGGGCCTCCGCCATGTTGTCGTGCTTTGCATGTTCCGTTATATGTTCCTCGCTGCGTTCTGCAGCTGTTGGTTCGCTAGGGATAGCCAAGGCACAGACGGCATATTTTTTCTTCAGGGTGGAAGTCTCGCTAATTTCTGATGTTTTAAATTGTAAAGCAGAGACGATGTAATTTAACTGGTTTTGACTAGTACCAAAGCTATAAAGCCTGAAATCGAATTAATTCAAAAGACTTCACGTGCTTCAGAACATGTTTACTTTGTGAAAGTTATCATTTCAAAGTAACTAGTAGCGTTTTAGTATTAAAAAGCTTTGTGCGTTAATGCTCCATGAATACTCCAAACCTGATTGTGTATTTGATTATTTATTATTTTATTATTTTATTTGTATCTACACCCATCGTTAAGAACGTCTATTTGAAACTGTTCCTATAATATCTGGTAAAGGGTAGCTTTTTTTAGCGAAATCAAACTTGGAAAAATTATATAGGTTTATAAACATTTTCGCTCTAAGTAATGGATGATTATCATGAAATATGTACTTACTTGTATAGAAAATAACTACACGTACATGTCTACATGTACCACGGGATTAACTGTATCACATTATATGAACACTGCCGTGTACATGAACATGCAATTCAACAGTTTTATTTATAGTTTTTTCAATCCACCAGTGACCTCAAACAGCTTGTGTAAGTCCCATGACTACATTTATGAGATGATTGCAATAAACTAAATATGACAGCGAAATCAATGAGTTTTACCATACACAATGCAATCATAATATCTTCACATTTGTTAGAGATGGCAATTTACAACCTAAATTATATATTCTAAAAATATGACATACACTATCAAAGAAAATTTATTTAAAATTTACCCTTAATATTGAGCTGTAAGATGTCCAGAGATTTCTTTGAAAAAAAAAAAGAAAAGAAAAACGTCAACTGGTTTACATCATAACACGCAGACCACGCCAGTGCGAAAAACATTTGTAATATTTAAACTCGTATGAAAAATACAACACATCTAAATTTTACTGTAAGATCCCTTTACCATTATATCCTACAGTCCTAAGCTTAAGAAATAAGAAGAGGGCAGAGATCCATTGGATCAAGTAACACTAGTTATTACATGTTAACATAGATTATGCTTCATCTGTATCTTTCTCAACTGAATGTTTTTAAAGACAGCAGGGACCTCTAGCGGTGAAGTATAAAAGTTTTAAACAATGTCTATTGTGGCTAGTGGAGCTCAACCGTCACATCTATCATCTTCTCCACTGATGACTCACAACGCAATGCCCTCCGGTCTCTTGCTAAAATCTAACCTATTGGTTACACTTTATATATGTGTAGCCTCTTAAAACTAAAGCAATGAAGCTTATCAAAAACAATGAATTAAGTAATTATGACATTTCCTAATGCACATTTGGACATCTTTGTGTGATTCCGCATATCTCCACTGCGCAATAAAGGTACGGAATCAGTCGTGTCTTACCGGTGACAATACTCTGTAATTAACAACTACTTTACTATTATATCTACATACTAGTCTGCATAGTGTTTGTTTTCGACAACAATATCCCCTGGGTAGTTCTAAAAATATATAAATAAACATTTTGCGGAGAAAAACATATATATATCAGAATCGTTATCATGACTTCGCTTGTGGAAATTCATCCTTTTGATGAGGGATTTTAGAACGATCTATTGTAAAACTTTTTTTGGAAAACTGATATGATAAAATTTCATACAAAAAGGATTCTGTTATATTTGGAAAAAAAATTGAAATAAAAGTAGAAAAAATGTAAAATGAAATAATTCTTCAGCTGAATGGCTAGGTTCAAAAATAACATTTTAAGAACAGCAAATACTTTAACATGCAAACGTCCTGTCAACTTCTGGAGGACATAAAATACTATTTTACACACGATGTTGATTCTTTCAGTTTTTACCAGAAAAGGATCAAGTACGGAAGCAGCAAAGAACGGGTCTGATACACACATATACACATAAGCTTCATCTGCACCTTACCCTGTCGCCTTCTTCTATTTCTAAAACATGGCACAAGAATGAAAACCGATCCACATTTTGGAGATATGCGGCCATTTTCACGTAGCCTAAGACAACGTCTTTGTTTTTGAGGGAGGTCACTTGCATCCCATTTTCAAAAGCAAAGAAAGTTTACGTACAATTACAATCGGCACAAGACACGGGCCCTCATACTTCACGTCTAATTATTATTATTACTCATTTTGATGAAGAAGCAATATATACCCAGTGTGCTTCAGTCCTTTTATCCCAATATCTCGACTTACAATAAGTTCATTGAAAGACACTCCCTATCATCATTTAGAGTTATGTTCCTGACAGCATCTGTGGCAACATATAAACGGATTAGGCGTTCACTAACACTACCCGCAGATCTTTTAGCAATAACACCCATAATAACCACATAACCCACGAATTAACCAACATACCGCACAATTATTTAGCACGAACAAAACCATACCTGACACTAACATTCATCCACTCTGGTAGTGCTGGTTATTTATGGGTTATATGGTTATTATCAGCCATCTCCAGGAGAAGACTGACCGTCTGAGTAGCTTTGCTGCACAAGCGGGACTTGCCATCAGCACCACCAAAACCCAGGTCATGTGCATTAACAACAGTACGACAGCACCTGACAGGGAGCCAGAGTATTGTAGGGCAGATCAAGCGACGGCGATTTAAATGGCTCGGCCATGTACTTAGGATGGACGAGAACCGAGTACCAAAGGTAGCTCTGAGATGGACACCACCTGGAAAAAGAAAGAGAGGAAGGCCCAAGACCACCTGGCGCCGAACAATGATGGCAGAGCTGAGGGAGGGGGACCTTACATGGGGACAGGCCCAGCACGTAGCCAGAGACAGGGCCAAGTGGAAAGAAGTGACTGTGGCCTTATGTCCCATACGGGACGAAGAGCAATGATGATGATGATGGTTATTATAGGTGTGAGTGCTAAAAGATCTGCAGGTAGTGTTAGTAAACGCTTAATCCGTTTATAAGGCCTGATACAACAACCTGTAGTTTNGGACCTTACATGGGGACAGGCCCAGCACATAGCCAGAGATAGGGCCAAATGGAAAGAAGTGACTGTGGCCTTATGTCCCATACGGGACGAAGAGCAATGATGATGATGATGGTTATTATAGGTGTGAGTGCTAAAAGATCTGCGGGTAGTGTTAGTAAACGCTTAATCCGTTTATAAAGCCTAATACAACAATCTGTAGTTCGGGCAGAGAGGAGCCTCCACTCACTCCTCTATGCCCTGGGTTTGCTGGAACCCGATATCACATTCTGACTGTCAAACATTTTCCTGAGGAAGTACACTTGAAGTGACCCGACCAGAATGATCACAGTGCACTGGAAGATTGACCAATACTGGATGTAGTTTCTGTTGCTAACGGCAACGTACCAGTCCCGGATGTGCTGCTGCCTGCTCTGGCCTTGGTAAAATAGCATGTCCGTGATGGCCTTGTCTACCTTGCCGATGCTTTGCTGAAAACAAAAAAGTGTACAAGTAAGTAAGAATTAAAGAGTCGTTTTTATGCTGTTTTCAGAAAAAAGGGGGGTCTGATCTGGGTCAAATATAGGCCTACCATTAGAAGCCAGATTACCGCTTGGACTTCGTTTTAAATTATTTCAGGCTATCAACTAATAACTCTACCTCAATCTTTAACAACAACGACAATAAACCAGAGGAAACAAAACCAAACTACCGAGAAGTTTTCAGTCTTGATATCCATGTCCTGGAGTTCCTTGGAGAAGTTATCCCAGGCCGAGGTGGAGAAGGTAACCAAGTAGAAGTAGACTAACTTACTGGCGAACCGGCTGAACGAGTTGTCGAAGCAAAATTCATAGACGCCTAAAATGAGAACAAAAGAAAACAGAGTTTTTGGAATATCGATTACAATACATCACACTACTGCTGGAAGACGAGCTCGAAATAGAAGTCTGGCACACCTGATAGCAAAGAAACAATTGAAAAATACTGTGAGGGACGTTTAGCAGATTATCTGTGGGCCCAAATACAGTAAGTCATTTCCCTCTTACTACAAGGGCGGGAGCTGAGCCCGCTATTTTGTCTTAATAAAATCCCTACCAATGACTCACCTGGAAGCTTGATTTGTCTCTCAAATGCCCCGTCAGTCTTCCACTGGAAGTTCTCTATCAGGTCTCCGTGTGGAGATTTCACTACCATGTCAATCTGCCGCTCTGCTCCACGCAGTACCTAAATATATTATGCAAACATATTTAAAATTATTACTTTTGTTGTCACATCCTTTTCTGACATTTCTCTTTTGTTTTACCCTTCCAAGTTCGTCAGTATTTTATGCATAATAATTGCCAGACATCGTCCTCGTGAGGCCGTCAGCTTAGAGACACGTAAAGTCTTTTATAAAAGACCAGATTCGTCTCATCGTCACCTCACCGTTTCTCTGTTTTATACAACTTAGCAACGCGAGTGCAAATACCAAGGCCCCGCTTCTCAAAGAACACCAGTAAAAATTGTTGTTAATCTTTTTATACTTCAATAAAATATCATTCTATATTGAAGCAGTGTGGCCCTATGTCCCACACGGGACGAAGAGCACTGATGATGATGATGAATGAAGCAGTGTAAATGTGCCATGGTACTAACTGCCCGTTTAAAATACTTGCCATTTCTTAATTTTCACGAAGCAGTACATTTTTGTCACTATTGCTACTGACTTCATGTGAGGAGGGACGTGGCGTGACTTGTCTCTCGCGGCAGATTATTCGGCTGAGTGTGTCGGATATAAACCCTAATTACGGTAACAACGGTGAACGCACGTGAAATACGATATTTGCATTCTTTACCTACATTTTAAACAGAAGCCTAAAATAAAGTACGTGAAGTCATTACCGCTGAGATAAGCCATAAAGGGTTGCATCAAGTTGAGGTCAGAGGTCGCGCTTTTGATGATTTTTGTTATCAGCAACATGATTTATTTGCTACTAATCTCTCCCGAATGTCACCCTGAATTTCCAAGTAAAAACGCTGGCGGTGAGTGTATCCGGGTATAGGGAAGCGTCTCAGTGATCACCATCTGCACTCAGGGTGCTTCTCTCGGGATGCGGAAAAATTTCCCAGCCCGCAGTCGCTGCTGTACACTTGGCGCCTCAAACCCTTCTTAGCTCTACTAGTACTGCGATGGAGAAGCCGAAATTTTAATTTTAATCAAAAATGATAGTTATACACTTGAACGCAGGTGAAGCGACTGGTCACAAACATAACTTGCTAGCACAACGCGCCCCAGACGTTCATGAAATATTAATGTAATGACTTAGAATAGTAATGAAGATGAGCTCTTGTTTTATTAACACTGGTGGCTTTATGTGTCAAAACAATGCCTAGTTGACACAGAGAAGGACTGTGTATAATCCGAGTGTGCGTTAAGTCGGTAAAGGGATCTTTGATTGCCTTTCTCTGATATCATTTTGTTCAGTGGGAAAAAAACATACAGATTAATTACCGGTCGCAATGTAACCGTACGTTTATCGATTTTTAATGAAGGGTTCTCTGTTATTTTGATTTCCCTGTGTGGTGACAAGTCAGTTCACTGCCACCTGTATAAAGACAGCTGATTTATTTTTCCTAATCTGTTCAGTGAGTTGACTGTTGAAGATGGAGAACTTACACCAAAGCTGATATTACAAAATATGTCGTGTTGATCATGTTACTAAATACCACAAAAAATACATCCTGTTCTATTCTAGCACGATTTGAATGATAACCGCAGAGAAATGGAAGCCGAGTTATGGGTCCACTATCCTTAGAAGGCTAGGGAACTGTACTGAGCTCCACACACTTAACCCGAGGGGGGGGGGGCTGCAGTCGTTTTACTATTTTACATGTCTGCTCAATATCACTCTAATGTTCTACCAAATTTCTGCAAAACTATATTTGAAATAATGCCCCACCCCCCCCCCCCCCCACCCCCGTGTCTATACGTCAGTCCCGTGGGGTATCTCACCTCAAAGGATATGTGGATCTCCTCATCCATCTCCATCTTCTGGTAAAAACACTCAAATCTCCCGGCAGGAATCTCGATCTTGAACTCGTGCTGAGATCCTGGCAGGCCGTCGAAGTCGAAATCCTCGTTGCTGTCGCCGAGGACATTTTCCGTTCTTGTTGTATATAAAACAGCTGTTATGAATATGACAGCCAGCACCAGTTTGCTTGTGTACGCCGCCATGTTTTGTCCACGTGTGACGGCAACGCTTGAGGGGGAGAGATTGCAGCGTTGCTAATGTCGTGTAGCACGGAAATGCTGTGTCGTTATCTAGACTTCGCCAAGTACTGCTATCTCTACGCGGGGAGAGACAGAGGAGACAGCTGTTTTAAAGCTTAAGGCCATTAAACTATGCTACATTTACAGGAATTGTTTTTAGACTAGGCATATTATTATTCTCAGGTTTATCATTTTCAGTGCACAATGTTTATGGATGAAATGCTAGATGCAAAATTTGATTAACGCGAAAAATGATGATAAGCTTTAAGATAAAAGAGATATGGGGAATTTTTCATTGTCATACATTTTTAATGTTATTATATTGACTTAACCCTCCAAGATTTACGAATAATTAGTACATTTAAAATTTATAGAATAACTTTTAATAAGAAGTTTATAAGTGGTCGCGTAAGTCTTAACTTAAATTAGTACAAAAATACACGCTCTTGTCTGAAAATCGGCGCCCCTATATGTACTTCTAATATATTTCTGGTGATAGTTCATGTCACATTTTGTATAAGTTGGTCTATTCACTCGCAAAAGTGCTCTATCCATTGCTCGGCATCTTGTAAAACGACAAGTGTACAAAAACGAGCCTCTTCTCTCCATCCTTTATTGCCCGACTGCCGTCTCAGCCAAGAGGATCATCAAGGTTATCTTAGCTCTTATTCGTAATCAGGGTTATCTTAGATTGTTTCTTAGGACAGCTTTTCACGTTCATAGCCAAGCTTTGGTTTCACTGATTCATCAAATACATATTCCTATATAACAGGGTGAAGATATGTTTTCAGATTTTACTATTTTATTTTTCAAGGAAAACTCGGCTTTTGGAGTTTTTTTCTTGAAATTTGCTATGCTTTTTAGTGACCCTGTTTAGGTTAAGATGCTTCTGAAATATGCCGCTCTTTTACTATTCAGTACTTTTCCATTGATACAGATATAAGTTTGGAAAGCAGGACAAACCGCTTCATATTTGTATGATTGAATTTCGCTCAATTAATGCGATAACAGAATGAAAAAACGTGAAAGGCGCGGGTGTCTGCATGCTCCTGTATGACGTCATTGACACTATAGGGATGTGAAACATTTCCTAACCCTCTAAAAGGCCAAAGCCACATAAGATCATTAGATGTAACATGTAGAAAAGAAAACAGATCAGCTACCCGTCCCCTTACAAAATCTGTGACTTGCTCTCTGCAGTCCGTGAAATTCACTGGGTCACCTTTTCTCTACCTAAACAAGTGTATTTTGTCCTCGTCTGCGAGACAGACTGCCACGACTGAAGCCGAGTATAAAAGTCACCAGTGTATGCTAATTGTACAGCTCAGGCGGATGACTAATTATACTCTCAGCTGAGACACTAGACTAAACGAAATAATTCTCTTTCTGATACGTGTCATTGGGAGAGGTAATCTTTTTGAAAATCGTCATCTTATCTGTCTAAATACTCCTACCTTGAGTATGTGTGGCATTTTGTACCATTTGTGGATGTTGAGATCAAAACCACCCCCTTAGATTATTTTTCGAACTTAGTGTAAGAAATGCACGGTAACGCTGCACAAGAGGCAACTCAGTGGAATTAATTATAAGGTTCATTCCACTGAATAATAATGGACGATTTTTGATAAATTAAAAATGTTAGTTTTCTCCTCTTAAATATTTATCAGCGGGAAATATGCGCCGTGTTCGAAACTGCCAAGCATCTATAGTTGCGAGCAGTTAGTCAATGTCATACTTCATTCTTATTTTTTTGAACATATATCACAAAATTTAAAGGGATAATTCTTTTTAAGAGATTCGTATTTCACAGTAACTGCATTGGTAACAATTCATAGAAATATAATAAATTCCATTTTACCCCCAAAACGGCAGTTATCACAATTATTTTGGAATATGGGTTTCCCTGGGGTTAAAGACAATTCTCCTTTATTTGCAGCTCATCCATTCAAAGCTGGTCCATGTTTTTTAAGAGGTGTTTTGTAATATTCCCTTAAGAAATTATTACAGAGTCTAACCATTTATGGAAGTCACATGGTTCGATGGCAAACTTGTCTTCAATCAAGTAATTAACTTCTTCACTCATATTCCATCATGCATGTTAAAAATAAAGAAATTCATATCTAAGTGTCCATGTTTAAGTCAAGAAAAATTTATATTACAATATATTATACAAACAGGATTTTATTATTTAGACATTTCATCTAAAACACAACTGAAAATGCCTTCAAATACTGAACAGTTTAATAATATAATATAATATAATCTGTTGTTCACCTTTACCTCAGATACCTTTATGACATACCAACTGTCTGTCAAATGAGTGCTGCCTTATACTCATCACTATGTCCATAAGAATCCCCCCCCCCCCCCACTTAAAGGAATTTTCCACCAGACTCTCCCAGTGACCCTGTCAGTATGTCAAAGAACAAATAATAATAGATAAAGACTTTTTTCACTCACTATTTACTAAGAAGTTACATTTAATGTTGAGCCATCCATAACTTGTACAATATAAATTAAGAAGCTTTACTATAAACAAATGAAGTAAGATAAGGCTGGTAACATCATAGTACACTAATTAAATGGTTAAAACTATCTACCATCTTACTACCCATAGTTAGCTATTAATGTTCAATCGTCTACAGTGCTAAGTATATAGATAAACAAATAAAAATTCAAGTCATCAGTTTCAAGGAAAACTGCATTAGTTAGTATGTCCATTGCACATCCATACTGATACAAGATTTATCAATTCCTACAAAGACTGCTGTTTACACTGAAACAGTACTCAGGTTTTCTGTGGTTTCCTCAAACCCATTACTTTTGTTGAAACATTCTGAATTCTTTCACTTCAAGTAAAAATCTGTTCACTTCTATCATTTTGCTTACCACTTGTCAGGCAATATTTATTTATTAACTTGGCACTTTCCAACTGCAACAGCCTCCACTTGTATTCAAACTGGCTCATACATCTGCCTTTTTCCTATCCTTTCCTCTGTCGTTCAAACATTAGTCTATCCAATTGCCCTTTAATAAATTCCCTAGTCATTTTGCTTCTCTTTCATATATTTTGTCCAATTCATTCCCCTCTCACTCTTTATGCATCTTACTATCCAATCATCTTTCTTGGCTCATTTCAACCCCTCCCACTTGTCAATCAAGCAATCTTCTGCAGCCAATCAATGACTTGGTTCAGTTCCCCATCTCCGTCTGTCCCGTTGCTTCCTCTGGCACTACACTCCACAAAGTCAACAGTGAAAGGTTTGAGATCAGCAAATTGGAAGTCTCTGTCCCGCCTCCCAAGGAAAGTGTTGTTATTGCCGGTGTCTGAGGTACCTTCTAGAGCTGCAGACCGCGTCACTCGCAGGGTGTTCCTGAAGATGAACCAGACAGAAATCATATTGTTGTCTTAGGATGCATTCAGATCCAGTTAATCTGCAGACAAACTTGTCCCAGGATCAAATATGGTATGATCCACTTAAAAGCATGGCGAGATTTAATTGCTCTGCCCCCACTGGGACAGTGCGTGGGGAAAGCAGCAATCCATTGCCAAGTGTGCTCCATATTTGATCAGGGGACTAGTTAGTCTGTGGATCAACTTGGTTGTGAATGCTGCCTTATTCACACCTGTGATACTGTTTATGATGGGATCAATGAGTCAATGATTGCAAGACATATAGTGATACTTTAGGCAAGAAAATTATCCTGAACTTAAAATGAATTTTTTTCAACATCTGCCTTATTTTTCAGAATTCTCTTTAACATTTAGCAACATGTTAAGAATACAATAACGCCTGGCCTGGTTCTCAACAAGATGACACAGGTAAGTCAACACAGACTCACACAAACACACAAATTACATAAACCAAATATACAGAAGAAAAAAAAATCAAATCATTTTCCTTGAATTGTATGGATATCCCCAGATAATAGGCAAGTGGCCTAACTTTGGGATCAAATGTTAGAAATGATTTTCTCTTACCCAAAACATAAAATTTGGATTAGAACCATATCAAATTTGGTCTAAAACAGTGACGCATCCTTTGTAGATACTAGAATCTGTTTTGCACTTCAGCAAAGACTTAGACCCCATTCTCAGAGATTAGATCGATCCAACTAGATCGACCTAACTCCCTGGGGGTTCATGCTAAATAGCTGTCAGCCGACCGGGCAAGAAAGTTAATTACCCCCTTACAGCTTGTAGTAGGTGGGACAGACATTTAAGCCGGATTATCTGACAGTAATCTAGTGAGACTTCCCACGGGGATAGATCGATCTAAAATCTATGGGAATGCGCCCTTAATCTGAGGTTGGCCATGCTGGCTTCACACTCACATTTCTTTCTCCAGTTGTTTTTGTACCACTTTGGCTCCTTTGGCCAGCGTCAGGTCCTGCTTGTTACATGCTATCAGTATAGGCACTGCAGCACTGGACACAAACCCATCAGTTAGGATTGTGTAAAGACATCTGAAATTACAGATACAACATGATATCAAGCACATGTCATCCAACATGATACTGAAGCCTTTTTTTGAACCTACTTTTGCTGTGTTATTAAAACAGGTATAAATCCAGGCTATTTTCTGAAGGTTTGTCAGTTTATGTGTGACATGACAGCACCAGGGTATAAAGGAGGGGGTGGGGGTGGGGGGTTAATTCCCTCCTTACTAATATGTCACTCCACCACCACCACTGCACGGAGGGCTTTTTGTAGCACTTCATTCACATAACTTGCTGGGTAGGTCAGTATGTAACTTCCTTCATCTTTGCCATTTTATTTTGAAAAGGAAGGGTGACTGAGCTTCTCTACTTCTCACCCTCCTTGAAAACATCAGTGTGTGTGTGTGTGTGTGTGTGTGTGTGTGTGTGATCATTCATTTAGCCATTATAGACCAGATCTCTAAAGTTCTTCAGTAGCATGTATCATTTTAAAAGCTAGTCCTTCGATTCAAAAAGCACCAGTTCTGCAGCTCAGGCTCTGACTTACTCTGCCACATCCTTGATATCTTTCTGTAGAGAGGCACTGTCCACCACAAACATGATCCCCCTGGCACTGGCCTTGTACTGGTCAAAATACTGCGACCGCAATCTCTCGTGTCCTGGGAGGTCAATCATGCGCAGTGTCCCTGTCTGATACACAAACCAGTTCAAAGTGAACACAAACTTTGAAACTGTGAGAAGCTAGCTACTACAGTATATATGGCAATAACAAATGCTTACACATATGCTGATTATTAAAACATTCATATAATAATAATAATAATAAAAATAATAATAATAATATATGTAAGTCTAAATTCCTATTCTGTAAACTTTTAAGTAAGTGCAATTATCATATAATTTCAGGAAATCTGGACCTTAATAAAAGAAGAACCCATTATAAAAGAGAACTGACAGTTCTAAAAACAAGCTTACTGGAAAATGTGCAAGTATACTAACAGTAGGAAGTATAAATATATGAGAATTGTGTACAACACAAGGAGTCTTTTTGACATTGCTTTTTGCATCTTAAGACAATCGAAAAATAATATTCATAAAACAATGAAATTTTCATCAAAATCATAAAGTAAGGAATGTGACACCTACACACACACAACAATAATAAATAATAATAATAATTTAATAATATCAGGCATTCAATTCAAGCATTTTATCTGAGTTCTATTGTTTTTATTGAAATAACCATTTAACTGCATTTTCCACATTAACACGTTTTTTCTTCTATAAGACTTAATGTCACACAGTTTCCAGCAAATCATTTTGGGGTTAGCTAATCAGTTTTTCCCATTTTCTTACTCATTTTCTTGAGACATGAATAGAAGATGAAGTTTGATAGTGTTTAAGATGTGAGGAGAGTGTCATGGGTTGACGTACCTTGTCTCCTGTTAACTCATAGTTTCCAGTGTTTTCTTTGATAGATGTATACGTCTCCACATATTTGTTAGCTGTGAGCTGAAATAATAAGAGGACAGTGTGAAGTACAGTAAGAGAACCAGGTTAAAATTACACGTCAGTCAGTTATCCCACAGAGGACCAAAGTCTGAGAACCCTGAGAAATGCTTTGTGTGACATCTGATAGTACTTAGAGTACCGTATATAATGTCATCTATCTTCAAAATGTCATAACAAATTCATAACTAGCAAATCAATATTCATGAAGACTTCATAATGTTATGATCTTCAATTCATGTTTATCTACTAAAACCTATTGTGATACAGATACCTTTTTTTCCATTTTCTTGAATTTTTGTTTTTGTTTTTTTTTAACAACTGGTAAGATAAGATAACAATACAATATCAAGATACCTCCCCATCCCCCTGATACTAACCCTACTAAACATAAGTGTCTTGCCGCCATCACAGGCTCCCATCATTAAAATGCCACGCCGGTTGTTCTTCTTCCCAAGTCGAATGAATACAACAACTGAAAAGAATGCAACATTTAAACCTCCACATTTCTTTATTTCATAGAACAGCTAATATGAAATTATCATGTAATTAGCTCTAGTCACAGTGATCAGGCCATTTAATGTGGACAGGATAAAGTACTCAACTACAAATTATGGATATGCCAGATTTTTTAAAGCTTTCTTATCCTCGAGCAATTTACAAGGGCTTTGTTTAACTTATCAATTAACTCCATTCCTTAAATGAAATATGATTAAATACGATAAGAAATTCAACCGGCATCTTACTTGAGAAATTAGTTAAGAACAGGTGGCCTGAATGCAGACACATATGGCAAGGTGCTAGACCACTGAACTCGCTATGCAATGCCATAACAACACACTACTTACAGAGGGTGATGATCCCGACTAAGAGAGCTACGAGTATCGCATAAAAAGAAGGGTCTCCATTAGCAAACCCTTGCTCTAAAGTCTTGTACCAAAATTCCACGTTGCCTTGTCGAGACATTTTCCCACCGGAAGTGAGTTGCTTTCCTTCCTTCAAACAGAAGAGCGGAGTAGCCAGAGTGCCATCACAGGCCAGTAGCCAGTAGGTTTGATCAGTGATAAACATGTACTTATCCCAGTAGAAATCGCATAGATTGCTTCCATCAGTATCTTTGATATCACTTTCTTAGTGATATGATATTGGAGAGTCCAGTAAAGCGCAGCATTTTAATAAAAATCAAATTAAATAAAATTAAATTAAATCAAAATTTGATTGAGATAGCTGTGTAACAAGTTCCGTCTAAGGCCTAAGCCAAAAAATATGTTGCCGCTACTTGAATTTAGGCCTATATAGACAGAATTCTGAACAAAAAAAAATAGAAGAGCGAACTCTCAAATAATCAGATTTTTTAGTCCTGTTTCTATTTCTGATATTTAGAAATAACGCTGTAATGCCTGAGAGAACACGTCTCTTATTTCGATACCATCGCTATAAAAGAAATAGAACTTATACAAGAATAAGACACAAAGTCTGATATAATAGTATTAAGGCAAAGTGACAGCTTGCACTCAGCTGGCTATGAAAGTAGGTTTCGAAATACAGGAATTCACTACCAAATACTTTACTGAATCCCGTATTTCTTGTTCCATAAATAATAATTTCTCACTCTCATTGAAGAGAAAATGTCTTAAACACTGGCAGACCTAGGATTTTGCTAAGGAAGGGGGGACAAAGATTTTCCTTGTTTGTATATTATTTTCACATCAAACAAACGGTGCACGCCATCATCTGCACTGTTTATATTCAGATCCATGACAAAGTGAAAGCATTAAATTAACTAGCATCGTGATCGTGGGTTTAAGAAATCGACAAGAATAGCGACCTGAAAATGAGAAAATAGGCAGCGCTAATCCGAAAGAAATAACAGAGATACGAACTTACAAAGTAAAGCATAACGGACATCTTGAAAAGATACATCAATCACACACTTCACTCCATTGTACTGTAAAGCGTCTTCCTCGGCAAATGAAAAGAGCTTATAATAATTTTTTTATTATCTTTTATTTGATAAAAAGACTTGATCTACTGATAGTTTAGATGTTTTTTCATAAATGAACTAGTTTTTATTCATTTTAATAATTCATTAAGAAATACGACAACTGATAAATAAATTGTAATAAGTTAATTCATTTCTTAAAACGATTACAACTGATACATAAATTGGTGATTTACCTTATTCTAACCAGCGTGGAGAGGTTGAAGGAGCCGGGAAATTTAATCGTCTATCTATGCAAGTCCCCAACAGTCCCTCTACTGGCAGTCTCTGTCCCCGGCCTTGCACTAGATTTAGTTCGAGGAATAAGAAAGACTGCTTTGCTGGTATAAATAGTACTTCAAGACTGAGTCTTTTTTACTCAATCACTAACACCTAAAACATAAAGGGATATTCGTTTGTTATACTTGTCTGTACGTTTTATTTAAAAATAACTGACGTCCGGAGGTCGCGGTATTATACAAATATACTGCTTCATTTACAAACAGCGATATTGAAAATAATTTCAAAAACAAGATAAAATTAAACTATGGGAGCCTCCTTGCGACTGAGATTGCTAAAAGGTTGCAAGCGCAGACTGACCCAGGTGTTAGATATCAGTTGCGCGCTAACTCACCGCAGTCCTAAAATGGCTTCTACTCCACTGATCTCCACTGGAAAGTAAAATACATCCATGATTCTGGGTGTGGACGGAGGTTAAAAGATATCCCCATGGTGACCTGTCCGGCACAGGGCGACAAAAACTCTCGTCACAGCGGTGTGCTAAACCCAGGTCACACTAACGAAGACGAACAACATGGTGTTAAAATCTGGTAAAACTGGAATATACAGAAAGTATTTACCTGTAGAAAAACATTTAAAAAAGAAAAAAGTAAATGCCGCAAATGCGGTGGAAATAATTTTCTACCTGCCGTTTCACAAAAGAATAATGAGAAGCAGAATATTATGATAAATTGCTGAATATGGTAAATGCTTAGTTTCTTATAAATACCTTCGTAGATTGATAGCATAATTAGCTTACGCCGGATCAGTTCTTTTTCACTTTTCTCTCTTATATTAAAATACTTCTCGGGATAATACGCTCTCCACGGTGTATTCACTGTACTACAGCTATTCTTGATCAGCAGCATGCATATGAAGATTGACGTTAGTTTATATAACTGCCAATCAAGCTAACTGCTTTTAATAGCTTTGATTGGCACCTCTCAATCATGAGCGGTAAAAGTTCCTTCGTAGGATGATAATGATTGACGTTTGTTTATAAAACTGTCAATCAAACTGTCTGCATTTAAGAGCCAAGATTTATACTTATCAGTCGCAAAAGTTCTTTTTATTTTACAAAGAAACTGAAGGAGCCGCTCGTATTTGATAAACCCCCCAAGAATTGGACTAAACTGTATGAATTTGAGTAATAGTATGTAAAAGTTGGAATTAATTTGAATGCCTCTATATGAAAGGCTTACTTGCTACTTGCAGCAACCCCAAAAATATATATAATCCGGAGCAAAATTTCGAATTATGATAAAATCAAACTAAAATAAATAAGGAATTGAAAACAAATGGATTAACGCAATACACAGATAAGGAAGAATTAGGATATTAGAAGAAAAGAAATTTTCGAAATATTAAAAATCAACATTACGTTGCAAATGAAGCGGGATATATGAGCCAAAGTTGCAAATGGAGATGGTTTGCATAAAACAGACTAGGCTGAATTTTTATTGTCTTTGCTTGAAATAATGCAAATTAATTAAAATCGCAAAATCGACACTCCCCCCCCCCCCCCCCCCAAAAAAAAAAAAAATGTTTCTATATGTTGCTATTCTCTCCATGTCCGGCGGTACTTTTGATGCCCAGTCAACAAAATATAATTTACAAGCATTTTAATTAAATTAAATAATAGCGATAAATAATGAATGAATAGGTGAATTTAAAGCAATAATATTAAAACCCATGCGTTCTCTTATACGCTATAAACCGGTAGAGAGTTCTTAAAGTTTCCTTTTCTCCTCTCTCCTTAAAATTAATGTTAGATAACAATAAAAATAAAATAGAAATACCATCATTACATATGACCCCTCCCTTCCCATCGCGCCACCAACAACGGAAATTTCAAAGTTAATTATTAACACAAAAGAGAGAAAGAAAAAAGAAAAAGAAAAGAAAGAAAGAAAACAGAAAGCATATCAAGTTCCACTTCTGTTGAGCGATCTTATAAAATTTAATTTACACTTTTAAATAACACAATAGCTTCGATCTCCGATTAAGAAAGACTCCAAAGAAGGAACTATTTGGCGTTGAAAGGAATAGTGATAAGGACAAGGACCTTATAAATGGAAGTTTGGCGTAGACAAACCATGTTTTATGGGGACGGTTAACTTATTAATTGCATTTCTCGAACCCCATATTTGTGTTTCTTTTACTTATACTTTCGATTGGGTTAATAGGAGAAATAAAAACTTTTTCAAAGGGGGGCTACATGTACCAGTATTCGCACCTTTGCAGTGGGTTTGTGCTAAAAGCCATACTTGAATAGCCATCACCTGCATCGACGAGCATTTAATAGCATTAAAATTCAATCCAGGGGCAAATGTAAGCTTTATCGGACCATTTTTTGCCCCCCTTCCTGCAAATGGAATGTGTCTTCTCCTGACTCACCGCGTTATGACGTAGTTATAGCTTAAGTTTGATTTAGTCCGTCACAACGTTAACACAGTCTTGCAAAAATAATCAGTAATCGGGATATTTTTTTGGTATTATATGATATGATTTAAGTCAATTAAGAGAAAAAATTGAAATGGATAAAAGTATTGAGCAAATACTATTGACCTGCGATATATCAATATAAATTTACAAATGACTGGCCTCAGTTGTTTCGGCTACTTTCAGTCTGCCCTTGATCGACCCTAGACAACGTCTCCGACGTGAGTTCCCAAAGAAAAGCATGTATCGCATGTAGAGGTCTCAAGTGCAGTTATCACTGTTACGGGGTCATATTTTCTCATATAAATAAACTTCAAGAAATTTGGGCTCCTTTAAAATAAATGCATTCAGTTCATATAAATGAAATTCAAACAAATTTATAGTGAAAATCAAACAAGGTTATTTTTATAAAGCTTACTCTTGTGCTTTGAATTATAAATATCTGCCTGCTTGGGTATTCGCGGAATATTCAGCTGCGTTCTCATAAAAAGTAACTTACGGCCCTTTATATGTTATATTATAAAGTTTTAGTTGCGTTTTATTTAAAATCCGTATCAAATCATTAATCTTTAAGAAAACCCTCTTTTTCAGTTAGCGTTGTATTTGATTTATATGTTTGATGTTGCTGTTCAGGGTGTCAACGCGGCAAAGGAATGATGGCAAAAAAATAATGGGTTTAGTCTGCAACTTTTCCGTGAATCAGAACACTACGGAGACCAAAAATTCTACCTGCACGGTACGATTTTGCGGTTCTCCTTTCTTGTTTCCGTTACTAGTTTTTACCCTCTACCAGGCCCGAGGGAAATATGTGTACTCATCACAGATAGCGATATGATCGTCTATTTACCCTGTATCTAAGGATATATGTGTGATTATCTAGTGAAAATTTATCTGTGGCCCTAGTAGAGGCTAACTAGTTTTCTTCACTAGTATACCGATTATCTGATTTTTTTAATCAGCTAGGGTTAGGGCTTCTTCGTGAAGTGGAGGAGTTCACGTTAGCTGGTACATGTACCGTACACGTCAGGTCAGGACTAACTAGCAAAAAAAAAAGAATTATCGTCGGCGATGCAAGCAGGGCTGTTTGAGAGTGTTCTGATTCACGGAGAAGGTACAAACTAAACCCATCATTTTTTTTTTGCCATCATTCCTTCGTTGTTTTTTTAATACAGCACTGTATGGTACGATCAGTTTAACAGGCTTATTATGTTGCTGAATTTTGTCTTAACATAACATTGGTCTTAACGCGGTTTGTCTGTATTAACTAACCCTGTTCACGCAGCTAAGTTAGTCATTGTTAACAAATCAGCGCCCTCTATCAATTCTCGCTGTCTTCACAAACACAATATGATGAAATTCATGGACTCCGTCACAATCATGTTGAGACAGGCACTTACAAAAAGATCAAAAACTGTAGCTTGAACCCTGTTGAAACTTAACTTCTTCCGACGGTTTATCAAAAATAAATATTATGAAATTTCGTTAAAAATTATTTCGAATATTCATGCTAATTAGACATTGTTTTGGTAAGTTGTTGCATTGATTTGCGTTCATTATCATCTTTTCATAATATGTTTATTGTGGTCACAGCCCCTTAGCCAGAGCACGCTGACGGGGTTGAAAATAGTGGAGGGGTGGGGTAATTGTAGTCATGAGAGTATAGAACTTTATTCATTGTAACGTTTGCATCTATCTGGGTAGATGAAAAATGACAATAGAAATGTAATTATAAATTAGTATGCTATTAACCAATAATATAATACCGGTATGACTAATCCAAACTATCTACATACAAGTTATTTTTTCATTGTGCAGACAGAAAATTAAGCATTATATATTCAGAATTATTTCCTTGCCATTTCATGTCCCTTATATTATAAATCTAGAACCAGGTGGCGAGTTCCCGATGCGGTATTTGTTTTCCTCCAGATGGCGCTATCTTACGGTCTAGTTGGTCAAACATAATTAAAACTGCTCAGATATTAAAATCAGTGTGCCGTATTGCGTCATATATATAGCCAGTGGCCTACATAATCATTAAACACCACCCCCTGAGACCCTCTGGCTACGGGCCTGGTCTAGTTTGTCAAACATTACAAAAACTGCTCAGTGTGCCATATTGAGTCATATTAAGATAGTGACTTACATTATGTCCGTTCAATTTGGGATGGATAAGGATCAGGGGTCAATTTAATTCTGGCATATCTTGAAATATACCGATCACAAATTCGTCCTCATTATTTTTAAAGTTGTAAATTACAAATGGAGTTTTATTTGTAAAACGTTTGTGAAAATTGAATAGGAAAGGCGGCCACTTCACCCTGCCACCTCCCCCTACCATGAATGTAATGGGATATACAGCCTAGTAGATGTCACTTCCTCAGTGCTGAGTGATCAGGAAGTGGAGCGAAGGCAGCCCAGCCAGATATTAAGTATACGAATATCGAAAATTCAGCCGAATCAGTATAATGTTTTAAGAAATCAATGTTAGGTATTTGGTGATGAGTCAGTTTTCATTCATTTTTGAAAGAAATATTTTGTTTGCTTAAGAGTGGTTTTGGTCATTTCCAACATTTTCTCAACGCACCATTTCGTTTCCTCCTTCAGTTCTTCTCATGATGTCTTATAAATATGTGAAAATGTAGTTGCACTTCATGTTCAGTATTTTGAACTTCGTTGGTAGAAATAGTAGTGGCAGTCAAAGTTTACCGAGAGAAATGTTCAAGGAGAGAAAATGCTGTGAGATGTCCTGTTGATATTGTAGCTATTTGTATGTTGATATTTAGTGGGACTGAATGGTTGATAGTGGAATTACAGAATATTATATAGGTATAGTACATGTAACAAACGTTCATTTCCGAAGTAAAGAAAATAATTTCGTTGGGTATAGTATACTTCTTTTTCGAATATTGGCAATATTAAACCAATTAAGTTCTGGTATTTCATTTCATTAAAATGTGTTCACGAGTTAAATTGAAGCTGTATTATTTCTGCGTGACAGATTAGAAGATGAACCCTTCAAGGCATAGGGGGAGAGCTGATGGTCCAAAATGCTGTTTGGAACGGATTTGAAAAGGCTCTGTCTAAAGATATTTTTATCAATATAACATCACTAATTTGAGGTCTTTTGCCATTAAAATGTAGCATATTTGAAACGTAATTATATTTGAGAATGTATGGTCAGTTACAAAACCTGCTTAGTTTCGATAATCCACCCCTATGCCTTGAAATACATGTATGTTCTGTATTATCCTAGCTTTATGTTTGTCGCCGTGGCATTTGTGAAATAGTACTATTTGTAGTTTTCTTCAACAAGGCAGCAAATATCTTCTTTCTGGTTAAAAATACACATAATTCAGAAATTTCTCCTGAAACACCAAGGGACACATAAACCATTAAAAAAATTCTACAATCCCGGTGTTGAATTCTCAATTTCCGTTTTTACTGACGCCAGCAAACTCTTCTGTCTCGTTCTCCATTATGAAGATGAACTTGAAATGGAATATTGATTTTTGATATGTAAAGGACTGACGTTCACTGTGTGTTTTTCTTGTTATGGACAGATAGGAGGCATATCGTCTCCTGATACTTGAACGCTCGCTGTCTTGTTAAGCAATAGATGTCATTTTACGTAGCAAGATAGATTATTTTGTTTTACTAGCAGCGTATATAATTTACAAATTGTATTTTCCATTTATGGGGGATTTGGAAAAATTCCCTTCTTGAAAAACTGATTTGGTGAATACGATGCATAAGATGGAGAATAAACGTCTTTCTTCTTTTAGCAATTATTTCTGGGTAAAGCCAGAGAACCATTCATGTGATTGTGGGTGTAATATTTTCCAAATTTGACTGTTTTCGGCAATTCTCTCTCTTACCAGCATCGTTTATTCCATCGTTCAAAGGATGCAGAAATGATGGATATTTTCTCCTACTTTAGAACAATTTTGTTTAGAAGGCTGCAGAACATTTGCTACAAGAATTTTTAAATTAAAATGAACGTTAGAAAAACAAGAGTTATTGAGATCTGTGCCTCGGATTTTGTGTTACTACATGTATATGTTGGTGATTTTTGATAATAATTTTACAAGGATATTTTTTTCAATTCCATATCCCCTATTATAATATGTTATTTAGCATTTATTCGATTTTGTCAATAGCTGCCACAATGTTAAATATAGAAAGGAGGAGGAGGCTCCATTGTTTTTATACGAAAACATAAATATTTTGCTTTGAGTTATTAAGATCAAACATAACACCAGTTATTTCGTAGATAGTTTATTTGACAAGTAGAACAAACAAGAATGTGATATTTGTTCCACATTTGAATGAACCGTAATGCAGATACAGATATCAATAATTTTGTTTTACATACTCGAACCTTTTTCAACTTGTAGTAATAAAAAGACTTAAGACAATAATGTTTTACAGATATATGTTTAATGAATAAATGAATACATAATATCAGTTTGTTTTGCTCTTAATAAAAAAAACTTATTGAACATACAAAATATCTTAGTGTTTTTACTGACGGTTACATGGCTCAGTGGTAGCCTGGGGTTGGGGTTCAATTCCTGGCTCGGGCACTTTGGAATTACAAATGGGGTCGATTACAATTTTCCTTTAGTTACTATAAGAAGAAAGTCTACCCGGGGAGGGTGGGTGGGAACACTTAGAGAAGTAGGTAACGCGCTTGTCTCAGAGACAGAAGGTCCCCAGTTCGATTCCTGGCGCTACTAGGTCCCAGCAAATTACCTTTTGCAAAAATAAACCTAAAATAAACATTAAACTACTACAAAAGGATCATGCAAAAGGGGTAAAGCAAGCTGAGACGGTAGCTGAATAGGTAAAGCGTAAGGCCAAGAAGCCGAATAAGACGGCTGACCAACAAGCTGATAACCAAAGGTTCGAGACGAGCTGAAGAAAAGAAAATCGGGAATAAATGAGCGCACTTTTTTAAACTACATCTATTTCAACTTATGTACGTTTATTACAACAAAAACGAGCAATTGCACCATAAAGATGTATGCAAAAACCGAACACTATGTTTTGGCTCTAGATAAAAAGCTATTTTCACAACTACTTGGCATATCGATATATAAATCAGGCTTATATAGAATTATCCATAGATCAATGTGTGGGAGGGTTTATGCATTTTGAAAATCATCGCACAATATCAATTGCTTTGGTTTTAAAGTGTTCTAGAACACTAAAGACGACATGATATTCTCAGGTTTTTGCCCAGAGTTAAAAAAGAAAGTTGAAGATTTGATGAGATATATTTTACAACTATCGTTCAAAGTTGACATTGGTATATTTGTATTATGTCTGGTCCAAAATTTCACCGAGGGACATTTTTATCCAAATCCAAAGGTGGTCACGATTTCGAAAATTCAAAATGCATATAATCTCATGTAAGCGTTTCCCCCGCACGCCACAACTAACTCTATGTCGCCATGCTGATGATCACAAACAACACCAAACAGCAGTCAAACACTATTCAGTTATGTAAATTTGATGAGCGCTTTTCTCATAGATAAATAAATATGTACGTCATATTTTGCGTCATCTTTTCTTATCTGTAAATATTAAAATCGAATTTTGAGTGAACGCTTAAATATACGCGTTGTGCGAACCAAGAACAGCATGAAGACATGGTCAGTTTACAACCCTATCCCAGTCATAGCCATTTTTAATAATCAGATGTAAAGAAAATTGAAAAAGTTCCTTAAAATAACTAAGCACATTTACTCAGAAAATGCTTATTAATTCAACGGTCTCCGGTGTTCAGTGATCAAGAAACATTCAACAACAATAACCCAACAGCACGTGCAGGACTGGCATCTAATCTTCCATTTTCTTCTCAATCACCCCTTGATTCCAACCGAAAAAATAGAATTTAGAAAGTATCAGGTACAAGTTCAACATTAAAAAAATCACCCACCTGCAAATTTTTGGTAAAATCTTTCGTCTTACCGATGAAAGTGTCATTTTTCTGATAGTTTTCGTTTCTCATTTTTGATTACGCAGACAAAAAGGATTTTTAGGCGATAATTCAGTCAGCTGACAATTAATTGACTAAATTAAAAGAAATTCTAAGCCACAGTGTACCAAATATAAAATTAGATATTTATGTTCATTTTACAAAAAAAAAAAAAATCTTTTTCGTGTTATTCCATACAGATTTGATTTCGTGTTTTTATAGAAATATATAGGCTACGGTCTACAAAAGTTAAGCCCATTCTTTTAAAATGTTCATTACCCCCACCCCCCTTTTAAAAAAACATCTTCGCGACAACTGTAGTTCTCGATGCGAATTTGATAAGAATATTTCAAAAATTCAAGTTGTACAAGGATGCGATAAATGCCAGTCCTACATGTAAATTTTAATTGACAAAAGATGCCAAAAGGAAACATTTTTCTACAATTCACTTTTTTCTTTGTGAACATTAAACATTTCCGATTTGTGATGTAGGCGAAAGGTCGTAAAAACAAAAACATATTAATTTCAAAAAAAGCTACCCAGCCCATGGTCTGAATTTCTGAAAACAAACATAACCCCATCTCAGCAATAAAACTATGGGTCTATCACTGATCAGACGCACTACTAGTACATGTATATCAAAACACCGGGAACCAAAGGAAGTTTAATCTGACCGTGCGTCATAACTGCATGTTCACAATTTTAGAAAAACCGGCTTCAATACATGTGGGCAATTCTGCAATAACCTGAACACATTTTACAATTTCCTATTGCTGTTTTTTTCTCAACAGTCATTATTTGGATTACAACATTCACAGTTTACTGCAGATTAACCTTTCGTTCAGTTCTTCAAATAAACCCACAATAAAAGATTCCTGTATGCATTATACGTTGTTGCGACATTTTTTTCCTTTTCAAAAGTTAACTTCATTAAATTAACATTTGTATCAATTTAATGCGAATAAACATTTTCGAGTGCACAATAAAGTATCTTATCACATATTTGCCCACACATATTTTACAGTCAAGCATATAAAAACCGGTTGTACAGTGTACCAGCACAGTGCTCTACCTGGACAGCACGTAGTGATAATTCTAAAACAAGTTTTATGTTTTTTTCGTTTTTATACATATCTTCAGCAAGGAAATGTTTTCAACGACATTATTTCTGTTTAAGGAGCATTCAAATTGTCTGTTTCGGGCTTGAGAACTGGAGAGTATAAACAAAATTTATAAATAAATTACAATAAAAACATCAAGTGTGGATAGAGTACCGTAGTACAACTTACAGGTAGTAACGCGATATGCAGGGTTGACGCTTGTATTTAGTCCATTTTTATCAGAAGTTTCATGAAAAAAAACACTCGTTACACACTGCACTTCATTTGTTGCACAATTTGATGCAGATTAGGCCTATAGCAACCCAAAGCAAACATTACATTTCAAACCAAATCAAATGTCAACCCTGCATATTAACTATAAGACAAACTTCGGCAAGCGAGACAATCTTGACATGGGTACGGGCGCTGTCGAACACGAAGTGAATATCTTTGTTGGGGGCCAATCCATTTTTATAAACGGTAGTTAAGAGTCACTGGAATTAAATGAAAATAAATTAAACAAAATTCACGAGACAGTATATAAGGATTCTATAGAGTAGAATATAACCATTGCAGCAATTCATTTCGGAATGCATGACGATATATAAATCAATTATATAAATAAATATATTAAACCAACACATTCTATGCAACCACGAACTTAATTTACAGTGATATTAGTACTATTTTAGTTTACTCTAAAAACAGGAGACACTTGATTCTTTAAAAAACAAAATGCTATGGATAGGAATCAAAGGGCACCCAATAAAGAGCTGCGTATACAGTCACCTGCCTTGTCGTCTTGCTTTGTTTAAGATGGAATAACATGTCTCTGGACAACTGGAATAATCTTCTTGCTTCTTTATTGGCAAATGAGTTCCCTCTGGAAAATAATAACAGAAAATAAGCTCTTTTACTTTAAGCCCTTTCTGGACTTTTAGGAGAAATGGCGTTCACGTCATTTACATGTCCCCATGGTCAATACGACTTCAATGGAAAATGTACCGTTTTGGGAAAATGTCATCCACACATAATCAGAGGTGTAATCTTATATTATCTCTACGGTACTTACAACAGACTGCTGCAGTTTCAGTGCCAGAATTTCGGCCTACATGTGGAAATTGTAGCAGTGAGACTTCCTTCTTTTCCAACTGACCTTGGTCCTATCTGAATACCTCTCAGCAAAGTGCCCACTTGGTTTACGTAATAATATACAGTTGTCCACCCTCCGTACAGAGGCCTCGATTTAGGCCTTGGTCTTTGTCATGTGATAGGGCACTATTATGGATTCCGATCCCGAGAAGGTAATTCGGGTCTGTAAAATGGCAAAAAAAATCAGATTTTATCAGCCATCATGCATGATATCAAGTTACTAGTGTCAGCTGTCATATTTCACCAGTAGAATGAATGAAACCAATAAAAATAAGTCGATGCGACTTTTATCCAATCTACAAAGTTACATCTCGCGGCGAATCCCTAGGTCAGATCTTATTTCCAAATGAATGAGGTTATTATCATTATCATTACCAGCACAACGCAGTTTGAACATTCAGAGTGACGTATATTGCTCAACGACTATAAATTGTTTACTATAGATTTGTGGAGCCGAAAAGTTTGTACATGTAAATATAACGATTTTTTAATGCCAACTGGTTTATTTTATTCGTTGTTCAAATTACTGCATAAACACAGTAAGCACAACTAGAATAGAGGAGAATACTGTTTTATTATGGTGATACGGGTATACCCCCGGACCTGTTATGGAACAATTTGTTAATAAGATAGCATGTTTCTCAAGGACAACACCTTATAATAAAATAGAAAATAACAATGACAATAATAATAAAAGATGAACTATCAATTAAATAAATAATAATCATCGCATTTTCTTTTTTCGAAAGCTCGCACCAATTTTTAACGCATCGCTGTAAGTCTGTCTCAAGCACATGTTTCGTGATACGTGGTTGTTCAATGGACAACACTCTGCTCCAGTTTTGTACCGTGTTCAACCATCTACAGTGCTGACTTGGTAGCTGTCCGGGTCTGTGGACTCGTCAGTAACAAATCGCTTTATTTTGAGTGCTTTCACTGATGAGGATCCACAGACTCCCGAAGCATACATCAGTAGTCCGGACGTAAAGTATAAAAAAGCGCTTTTTCTTAGGCTGATAATCCAAGTACTAGTGTTTTATAAGAGTGAATCCTTGATTTTATTAAATATTCCAAGCGCAAATCCACTGCTTTTTGTTAATGGTTCGGCGTGTAATGCTAAATTGCCAGTGTAGTGAAGCGAAATGTGGTGCCGACCCTCCCCCCCCCCCCCAAACTTGGGAGTGGGGTTCGTGATCCGAAGAGGGCCCCGAAATTTTTTACTTTAGAGGGCAAACTGTGCCATTTGGTACGGTTTAAACTATGATTCAACTAGTCAAAAATCTAATTTCAAGAGAGGACCAGAAATCGACGGGGGGGGGGTCAGAACCCCCAGACCCCCTATAAATCCGCCATTGAATGTTGATAAGCACACCCTGCCGTTTGCACCACAGACGAAAGTCTAACATGCCTTGCAACTGTCCTTCTGAGTGTGACATAAGGGTAATATAATCGGCAATCACTAGCAGAGCAGATTTTGGTCAACCAGTTTAACTCCTAGGTTTCCTGATTGCCCTCAGTCTCAGAATCTATTTCAGTCTCAGTAAACAGAATAATTACTATCTTTGTCACTCTCTAAAGCATCTCCCATCCGAAATGATAGAAGTGTTGGCGCCGTTGTATTATGCTCTTGTATGGAATCAGAAATTTGACGTGGGGTACATTACAAAACAAGGCAGCAAAGCTGTCAAATGTACAGACAAAAAGCAGAAAATAATGCACAAAATAGGCAACTGGCAATTGTGATGCAATATTACATTATGCTTAACTGTAAAGTCAACATAAAATTTTAATTATGCACAACAGGTAATACCAATGTAAGTAAAATGCGTAACAAGCATAAGGCTTCAGGCCCAAGAGAAAAATAAAAGTTTCACAAAAAATTGCATTAGTTTCAAAAGAGTATAATCCAACAGAGCTGGCTTTTTAATTTGAGCTGTATGTCAATCCTAAGAATCATTTTTGTAAGTTTAAATATTATAAGTAACACAATTTTCTTTTCATAACGTTTGTGGTGGCAGTGCACCAAGCAGCATTACATGATGATTAACAATTAAATTGCCACCAATTTTTAATTATCTACTACAAATAACATGGACATTTAGAAAATTTGATTACCTCTGAGCTTCATGAAAATGCCAATTTGTGAAAAATTAAAACTTCACAAAAATGATTAACTTCCAGAAAAAATTAGACTGCTTTTCCAACTCCGGCTGCATTTTAGTCCTGTGTTTCTGCTGTGCGAATTTGAAAATCATAAATGAAATGTTTTTTTCCTTAATGTTCATTATGGCGGCAGTGTCCAAAATAGGGTTTTCTTTACTTTTGATGCAATATTACATGATGCTTAACAGCATAATGACCATCAGTTTTTAATAATAAAACATAAGTATCATGGATATTCAGAAAATGTGATAGCAAAAGTCTTCAAGCCTATGGAGGATTGAAGTCACCTTAAAAATGCCAAAATGTGAAAAATTAAAATTTCACACACACACACACACTCTCTATCTCTCTCTATATATATTTATTTCAGTTTATCAGATTCGATCATTCACTATGTTCAGAATCTCAGAATGGAGTAAATTGACATTTAAAATTGTTCTATTGATATGTATATATTTGATATTCTTAAAGACCACGAATCCCAAGAAATGCCAGGAATTGACAAATTTCATAATTCATGAGGATTTGTGAGATTTTGCAAATTTTCTGGCCTAATTCGACACACTCTACGATTCAGTTACAATATAGGTACGATAGTGTTATGAATATTCGTGGGATTTGGCTGGAATTGCAAGATTATTGTCAAGAATTCACTACAATTTTTTGGAATCAGGAGTTTGTGGCCAAAATTTTGAACACCTCAAAATTTTGGCCATGAAATTCCCAATTGATCAAGAATTGCAAGAACTGACTACGATTAAATACGAATCTGTTAAGAACTTCACAAACTGATTACGATTCAACCATAAATCCTGAAATTTGTCAATTCCTGGCGATTCCTGGTCTGTGTGAAATAGGGGCATAAGACACATCTGTGTCTGTACATAAAAAGTTACGGGAAATGTTCTGTTATACTTGTATCAAGTGACTTCAGTTTTTATATTTGAATTTTTCGATGATTGTCTTTAAGCAAACCCGTTTGATTAACAGTATAATTACAGCACTCTTGGGTACACAAAGTCACCTGGACTAGGAAACTATTACTATATGTGTACTTTCTTTGTTATTTTCAAAAAAGTGCTGAAAGACACAAAATGGTTAGAATTTCTTTTATTCCAACTGAAATGCCCCCCCCCCAAAAAAAAAAAAATAAATAAAATAAAATAAAATAAAAATAAATAGTAACAAAAACAATATTCTTTTCTTATTAAGCAATGTGTTTATATTGGTAATATATCCATTACATACAGTTAAATAATGAAGACCATTATTTTTCAAATATTTATCTTGCAAAGCTACAATTATGATACATAAACGATGATTCTAAGAAAGACATAAAAGTCATCAAAACATCTAAAATAAATTTTCAAGAACTACGTTAAAATTGAAATCAATAAATATATGTGAAAAAATCGAACATTTCCTTAAAAGATTACAGGTACATAATAACAAAAACTACGTCTTAAGCCCTTTTAAATGTAATTTTCAATGAATCAAAGAAACAGTATTTATATAAATTAGAATAATACATTTCGTACATGTACACATGTTCCCATGTAAATTCATCTGCACTGTGTTCATATTTTATAAAGAAAATATAGTTTCAAACAGCTGAGGCTTGAGGCTGCTGCCATTAAAAGTGTACCCTCTCTCTAACTGCTGTATGTGATGAGTGCACTGTTAAGTACTTTCCTTGCCAGTAACTCTAGTGAAACTAAAGACACAACTATCATTCCCACTTAGACTGAGCTGTTGAAGAAATAGTCAATGTTCTCTTAAAACATTGCATTACCTTGATGGGTTGATGTGAGTAAATATGTAAAACGTAACAGTCAGTGTATAAGTGACTTATTAGTGGTGAAAAACTGGGATAATTTCATTTATTCAGTACCCTTCAATACCAGTTTGTATACATGTGTTGTGGATATCAGTGTTATTGAATACCCAGGTTCTACATGATATTGCTATTCACTGCAGAATTTACAGTTAAAAGAGACTGGGATAACTTTATCAGTTGACTGTGTCTAATGACTGTGTCTAATGAATTTGTATTTTTGGACAATAAATTTGATAAAAACTTTAAATTACTTTGAAAAACCATAGCTTAAAAAAGCAAGGCGTTAATATTTTAGACAAATCTACTCCAATGTTTGTGAAATTTGTACAAATGAGGCTTACAAACAAAAAAATCTGTGATTAATCAAAATGTATTTTTTTTAACATGCAAAATCCCCAGATTTACACAGTTGGACGTTAATAACTCTGTGAAATGAACTTCGATGTTACTTGGACTTGGATGATTGTGAAACTTACAACTGTAGCTTGACAAATGAAATAATCTGAAATAAGCTCATCAGCTGCCTGTGTGTAATATAAAGTATTTTTTCTGACAATACATTAAAGGAAACTGAAAATTACATTGAAAACACATTGAAAATTCAAAAGCTTAAAACAGTTAAACATTAATAATTTTGACAAATCTGTTCCAGTGTTTGTGAAATTTGAATAAATGAAGCTTAAAAACATAAAAATCTGATATAATATTATCAGTAGACTGTGTGTAATGAAAGTGATTTTTCAGACAATATATTTGAGAAAACTAAAAATTACGTTAAAAAGACTGACAATTTTCATGGATAAAAATAGTTGAATGTGATAATTTTGATAAATCTACTCCAATTTTCGTGAAATATGGTAATAATTTGAGTAAAGTCTGCCTGAGTCTAATGAAAGGGATTTTCAGACAATATCTTGAAGAAAACTGAAAATTACATTGAAAACAATAGCAAATTCCATGGCTTAAAATAGTTAAACATTAATAAATTCTACAAATTTGGTCCAATTTTTGTGAAATTTATATAAATGATACTTAAAAA